AGAATACCTGATCCATTATTAGGACAGCTTAAATAATTTCTTAACAAGAGGGTCCCAAATAGTTAAACTCGGGTCTGTAACTTCCAAATACAAAATACAATTCATGTTATTTTATATTAGTATATATTAAGAAAGTCACTCCTACATATACTAGGATGCGTCTGTTTAAAGTTTTTTGATCTGATATTTTATCCCTTGTATGGATATCGGCGTGTCTAATTCTCCCTATGGTTTTAGTTGTGTTTGGTTGGCAATGTGATTGCAGTCTCGTAACCACCTAGCACTATGTCTAAATACATCTTTTACAAATTTACTTGAGTGCTATAGGAACTTATCCAGACGTGTATATTTATGACGTTTTGTATGAACTAGATGACGGAATGGCAATAGGATATTGCTATTTGGAAAACATGTAAATCAAAATAAAAAAATAAAAAAATGTTCAGATGCAGTTATGTTTGTCGACAACGAAGTTTCTGTCACCTTCTTCGAGTACCACGAATGCTCCTGTGCAATCCGTAACTTTCATTTCTATATGCCTCTTGATGCTTTTGTAAATTGAATAGGCGGCATAGCTTGCTAGATGCCTCAGAATGTTGGAAAGGCCTTCGTCCACCTAAAAAAATTGCAGGCGTCAACCATATGACTTACGTCAAAATTAATGAATTAATGCAGATTGCGATTCCCTTCATCAGCCTTTCTCCTCAGTGAACTAAAAGAACACTTCCAAATCTCACGAATGCTCAGTTCCACCGGGAAGCGCTTGCTGAGATGTGTCCTCAGGTGCTTATAGCAGCACTCAACTCTGTTATTGGTTTTGTTGTCAAGAGTGACAGCGTCTCTGATATAACAGTCTGCCCACATATTACGGCAACTCCGTAAGTTGTTAATTGTGTATAACATAGCTGCAGGATACTGCAACCTCATTAAACTTATCAACTCACTTAACCTAATGAAGTGTTAACACAATAACACAATTACTCGTCGTTATTGGCAGTGTACACCATCTCTTTAAATATCCCTCTATATTGAGGATCACGGAACGTAAGCACGTCAAGTCATTAGTAACGTCGCTTACTTTGTTATTAAAGGCCCGGATGACATGGTATGCACATAATAGAATAGAGCAGGCAGGGAAATCATTACAAATGGCACGTCGCTCTGCAGCACCCTTGCCAATTACAAACGTAACCCCCTGAGATGTATCACCCATGATATTCTTAAAGGGCTGTAATACCACTTCAAAGTCAACATGTCTTTCACGATGAGTTATGCTGTAAATGATTGGACAACTTCTGTTTTGACCATCTGTAGCGACCAGTTGATATGGGGAATGACTGCAAGTGATTGGTTTCACATTTAAATCTTACCCTTCCTTATTCGTATTGTATGTTGAATCCATGCCGACAACCCCTGGAAATTTGTTATGCAAACTTATCATTTCCCTGGTTGCGAAAATAAACTTCTCCGCACGTCGTCGACTGTCCATCACACACCCTACCGAACCTGTCACGAATTTCATGGATTAGTGTGTCAACATCTCGCATCCCTATACAGACTGTTAGTGCGACATGATAACTCACTAGGGTAGGCTAGTTCCCAGAAATTCCGACAGTCATCGTAAGTCATCAGCTTTCCAAACTCAACATCAACCATATTTATAAATTGTACAGGGGGGCGTCTTTTTCCACAAGAGGTGGTAACTTGATTTCTTTTCAGCACTCAGTCTTCGAACTTCTGGCCCAACAGACAACAGCAGTTCTCTTGACAATGCATGATTGTGTCTAGTATTGATAGGTTCAACCACTTTATAACGTCCATATTCCAGCTTAAATCTGAAAGTCGATGAACACCCTATGTACTTAGATCTTAAGTATGAAGCTTTAATACTTCACACTTCTCACTGTGCTATTCTTAGGTGCCTGATTTCTGATATTCGACGCCGACCAACATGACAAGAAAATGCAACACACAAGTACTTATAATCTGGATCAACCTTGTTATTTTCACCACGATGAACTCGGCAGTCGCTTATTTTATACAAGCTGTCAGTTCGCTAAAATTATTAATCATAAGTCAAGAGTGCAACTTGCATAAATCCATCACCTCTTGAAAACAATGGATGCATTCTTCACACTCCTTCCAAGTCCTTAGACTTTGGCATCGAAATAATCCATTGAATGCAGTAGATAAATCCACTGATGCTACATTAATTCCCCCTACCATGAACATATGCATTACCAATTATTCTAAAGCACATTTAAGATAATCTTACTTAGTAGAAATAGAACAAAACAGCCAATGATGTTTGGAAATACCGTTACTGCTACTTTTAAGGTGATATCAAACAGACCAATCACAAGCGAGTAAATCACTTGTTTATCTCACTCGCGGACACTCAGAATTACGGCCGTTGACAGGCTGTCACTTACCTACGTATCACCTACAGGCGGAACCGATGGGATATCAAAGTAATGGTCGGTAAAGCAAGGCAAGCTTTCATTTCTCTCAAGTCTGTGTGGAGAACAACGGCATTCAGCATGGAAAACAATATGCAGATTTTCAACTCCAATACTAACCAGAGACTTGGTGCGTCGTGAATAGCACTTCGAACAAGCTACAGACTTTCATCAACAGCTGTCTTCGCTCAGTACCAATCAAGATCAGATGGACAGAAAAGACTGGCAAAAGGGATCTCTGGGAGCGAACCAACTCAGCAGGAACCGATTGTGCAACAAATGAGCAGGAAGAAATGAAGGTGGATTAGATTGGCCACACTCTGATAGAACAAACCATCAAGTGACATCACATGACAGGCTCTCGAGTGGAACTCGAATTGGAAGCGGCCACTTAGTTGTTCGTCAGTGCGAGGTTGACATGGAGGAGGAGGTTGTGTGAAGAGGAGATGAAAGTTTGTGGGCAGATGTGGAGCCGGGTGAAAATGTTGGCAGGGAACCGAACGCAATGGAGACGTGCGGCTGAAGCCCTATCACCCTATAGGAATTAAATAAAATAATAACAATAGTGTTATATACTTGTGTGAATAGACGACCATATCGACCACATGTAACGCAGACTTCAGTTGTTATGACCTATTACGACAAATCCAAACAAGAATGGTGCCTCGGATTACATCACGTGATTTGTTTTGTTTACTTTTGCAAAGTGTGTCGACTGACGTTATTCCATCACCTTCCCTTGTACATATATCTTGCGCAAATAAGGAATGGCAAATAAACTTGCTGTATGTATATATCACTTATCATATTGACGATGCCTGTAAACTGGTGTCCCTCATGCATACAAAGTGAGAATATATTATTATTACTGCAAATATATTGTTTAGTCGTGAATCTGAGGTCAATAATAATAATTATTTATATTTCGTGTAAACGGGTAAGTTTACAAGAGATGCCTGCCATTTTTACAGGCACGATCAGTGACGTTATAAATGACAATCCTGAAGTGTCATAAATTAATACTTTTTCAATTGTTCAGTTATTGTACAAGCAATCAGAACAGGTTCTTATGTTAACTTGTAAAATATTTACGAAAGTCACCACCAAAGTTGAGCGACAAACCAAACTTCGTTCCGTTTCCTGATGATAGTAATGATTTTTAACAATGACCTACCATACCGTCTAAGCTGCCCGACTCTTCTATACGCTGACAAGGTGAAGATTTGGAGAGCATTAAAGTGCTCGAAAGCCTCCGACAGGCTCCAGGTAGACCTAAAATTTCTTGAAGACTAGGCGGTGGCCAATCGTATGACTTCCAAAGTGAAAAAGTGCGAAGTAGTGCAATTACTCATCTATAGCCCGAAGAATACAATTAACAATTGTCCTGCGCAACACTGAAGCATGACTTAGGTCTACTTGCGACAGAAAGATGGACACATGCATGAGTTACACTGGGGATGCAGCGAGGACATATGCGGTCATTCACTTCACACATAGACAGTTAGGTGCACTCACTCCTGAGCTCTTTCCAAGGTTTTACAAAACATACGTCAGACCACATCTTAAAGTGCATAATATCATTGCAACCACACTGTTTGGAAGAGGCGCAGTCCTTTAGGAAAGAGTCCGAAGACGGGTGACAATAACAGTGATGGGTCTCCTAAACAAACCGTATAATGAGTGGTTAGAGAAATTAGGTCCCTGCACATTTAGCTACAATCAGCTTAGAGTGAACTTGATTACTGTCTATAGGATAACAAGTGAGCAGAATCACACAAACAAAGGTATTCTGCCGTTAAGAATGTGTGGGCCTCCTCATGGCAATCCAAGAAGTATAGCTCTCCAGAGGGCGAGGGCTGAAGTGCACTTCCATTTCTTTTCACTGCGAGTCTGCTGTCCGTGGAGCGCTTCACCGGCAAGTTTAGCTAACGCACCGTTCGTGAACAGCTTTAGGAGAAGGCCGGACAGCCATGCAGTGACACAAGGTCTGTGGCTGAACCGCCTATCCTTCCAAAATCCCGTAGGCTGTTAATGAGACTGTTAAATTCATCGTTTTACTTCTTCACATTTTCGCTTGTCTTACTCTCCTAGCTACTCCGACCATTTCTTCCCTTACACTATTATTATTGATATGGATATGTGTGTGTATATATATCAACTTCGAATTTTATTAGTTATCTGTTTTTACGTTTTCTTTCTTTTGTAGTTTACATAACCTATGCTAATTATACATTATTTTTATCTCCTCTTTTCGACGACACCAGAAGACTAACAGGTGAAAGGATCAGCCTCATTCATAGTCACAACACGATCCTAACATACTGCATACTACAAACTATATATAACTGGTCCCAGTACCTTTCCTTTTGGAGTCAACGAAACTATGACAGTCGAGTGGCGTGACGAACTATGCAGAAGTTTACCGAAGAACAGGAAACTTTACCTAACAACCAATAAGTGGGCACAAAGAAATCAAAATGGTTTACATTAGCTCGTAAAAAACGATATTGGATTATCTTAACGTTCTACATTTCAAGGTCACTTTCCTAATACACTAGTCCCACTTTTTGAAACCAGGGGGATATCCCAGTGATTATTTATGTCGGTGTCTGAATGCCAAAGGAATACTATTGCTTATCACGTCTCCCTTCTGTCGAAATATTTCGAGTTTGTTCTAAATAAGAGCTGTTTTTGATTACTAGTGTGGATTTGCTAAATGAGTATGACGCATTGAAGTTTGTAGACAAGCTCGAACGAAGTGTGGCCACTTCATCTGAAATTGAGGTATTAATTTTTCATTTATAAGCATTGCCGCAGTCTAAATTGAATCATTCAGTTACAAATATCCTACAGGACAACCGTATTTCCGAAGAATTTTTTGAGAGCTATGAAAACTTGAAGCTTAGGAAGTCAGTGGAGCTTTTGTAATAATATTTGATAAATCTAGTTATAAGGAATTACCGCGGATAATACAGCTGTTGTCATTTTTGAGATCGGATCCTGACACTCTGCGAATTCTAGCGAGTGTAACATCACGCAGTAAAGGTGCAACAGACACCAGAAGAGTTTCTTCCGCTGATATAGTAGGTTGATTAGCATGTTTTGATCATTTCATTATTTGTGTGTACACTTCTTTTAATGTACCTTCAGGGATTTCACATAAGTGCATTTGTTATTCGGTTGTTATATCAAACTTTAGGTATTTAATATTTGTTGAATTAATAGGTTGGTTTTCACCTGATGTATTATATGTACAAAGACTGATTGTCATGATGTAGGTTAACACCTGCCTTTAGTACAGATTTCTGCATAGTCTCAGAGATATCGTTTATTCATGGACTGGTGATATGAATTGACTTCAGTGTATATTTCAGAAAGTTCACTGAGAGTTACTTCCATTTAAACACTTGTTTTATCTAGCAATGTTTTGGATTTAGTTCCATAACATTTATCCATCTATCTTTCATCAGTTATTCACTTATTGTCTTCGCATTTATTACACCTAAAGTAATCCAATGAAAGGGCTATTTCCTGCACATCTTTTCACGTTACTGTTAACTGTTTGTACTGGTAACAGCTACTCAAGACGCTAATGTATTTTCATGGCGTTGTTGTGTGCTTTATGTAAAATATCTTTTAGCGTATATATCATCTCAAATTTTGTTTTAAATTTAATTTTTAGGCAGTTAGCGCTCTTTCAGGAGAGTTTTACGACAATATCCTGATACCGTTAGATGAGGGACAGTTCAACAAACGTCATCGTGAAACTAGTCATGTAGTTGTGCCACCTTTTTCTTCACCACCCGGTACAAGCACGCCTTTTTGTCTGTCTGGTACTAGGAAACCAAAGGATATTTCTGAAACAAAAAACCCTCACAATTCATCTGTGGAACCAGAATCGTGGTACTCTCATGCAACACTTTCGGGAGACTTCTTGCCAATTTTTGTTGTAACTGTAAGTTTCAAAAAGTTCCTGAGCATATTACACCTTATTTCGTTTTTATTTGCTGAGACAGCCACCATCTATGAAGCAATATCTCTTCAAATCAGAATGCTGTATTAATTTTAATCAGTACTAAATATTTGTATTCCATAAGAGGTCATAAGGTGTCAGACTATTGATAAGTCATTTATAGTCTAGAGGCAAATTGTTAATTTCTGATCTGTGTGGGTGCACCTTCGGACTATGTGATTAGTGAAATGTGTCAGAACCTAAAGAGTTAAATTAACAATGTCCTTCAGTTCCTTACCTGAGAAAATACTATTCCTGTGACAAAAGCATTCAGGATTAGTGGCTGTATTTATTGATTTTGGATATTTATAGATATAGATACGGCTGAATTTTAATCCTCATGCCAGACTATAATCCTAACGGAACTCGGTTTTGCATTATGTATATAACAGTCTTATTTATCTCATTTTGTCATGTTTTCTTCTGGTTATATTGTTACTGGTTTATTGATGTGAGTACAACTTCCAAACAGTAGTTTAGGCGTTGAAACTTCAATCAACGTGCTCATATTGAGCAACAAAGTGGTATCATTAATTCTCAAAGCACATGATTTACTTGTTTTTTTATTTCTTCTAAGACAATTTTAAGTGTATTTGATGATATTTTTTACATCTTTGTTTCACAGCACTGGGAAAAGGCAAATGCATTTTGATATTAATTGTTACTCTTATGCATCAGTTTGCTTTGATGTATACAAAGTGCAATAAATCTGCCATGTCTTACCATGGTGCAGTTGACGTTTATGCAAAAGATTAATTCTATTTTTTTCATCAAAAAAAGTTGAAAACCCCAAAGAAATAATTGAGACTTTATTTCTAGCTTTTTCATTGATTATGAAAGTAAACTACTGCGGAACGTGCTGAACATTTTATTTCGATTATAGGAAATTTTCTGTGTGTTGGTAAATGTCACACCAATAACCATATGAAATAATATAGACACCTCTTTTATATTATTGTGCGGCATTGTAACTAAGAATCGTGAACATAGTGTTGTATTCATGAACAGTAAACATATATAAACATTCTAAAATTCTCATCAGTAATATTAGGCAAACTGCATTACTTTTTTGTCAAACTATAAACTTCTTTGTTTCCTTCTTCAAGCCTTCCCAGCCACTTCCAATCGAATCTCTTTCAATCTCTGTTCAGGAACACGCTATTGTCAACGATCTCCTTCAGTGCCTACAGGTGGGTTGCATTCTGAAGTGTCAAGTAAATCCATCATTTGTGCTTTTTTCTAGCTATTCTTCTAGTGCATTTGTCACATTGTTAAGGGGTATACAGATTATTTTGTCTATTTGTTTTTAATTTCTAGGGTAACCAAGGAATATATATTAAACCCCTTCCACTGCAAAATCGGAACTCAATTCGAGCGTTCAAAGTAGATGATAAAATAAGTAAGTTTATTTTATGCTAGTATTATTAATGACATATTAAGGGGCTGAAAATAATCTTATTTAACCAATTCTTAATATTTCCGTTGAGCTGATGTACCTAACATCCCGTTACCTGCTTGATGTCATATTTATCTTAGAATTGGTTGTACCACATTAAAGGTTACTTAGAAAACTATATAGCTGCTTTTTATGAAATATTATGTTGTGACCATGAGTAACCTAGGGGAATAGTGTGGTCACAGACTCTGTACGTAATATAAGGTGAAAGTTTTCATTTAACCCTTTTCTATCTTAGTAAAACATCAAAAGCACGATTAAAGTTGGAATCCGTTGTGTAACATGAAATCGCACTGCTAATCAGTATTCACTCACAGGTTTCCAGGAAATAAGTCACATTTTTCGTGATTTTTCCTATAAGGTTTACTGTTGTGACTTAGCTTTTAAATGTTTGAAACCCAGCAATTCAGTCATTAATCGCATTATATTCGGTCGGTTGGTCGGTTTTCGACATAGAACTTTGCACATATGTGCGGCAGTTCAAGTCGCCACACTCCATGTAGCACACAAAGCAAGAGAAGAAAGTAGAAGAATTGCATAATATAGACATTAAACAGAGGTGTGAGACAAAGTAATAGTAATAACGGAGAACAAAATAGTTTAATTGGAAATCATAAGTCACAAGGAGTGGATGCATCTGCGCCATTGAGAACGATTTTCAGCCATGTCACCAATTGTTTCCAACCATTGGTTTTTACCGTCCCGAGGACCCCAACCAGGAAGTCTACATCTTCCTACGTGGCTTAGACTAACTGTTGTAGATTTCATTGACTGGTACCATGTTTTCGTTTGACCACCGCTAGCTTTTTTCCTGCCTGACCCTATATCAGCTAACATTGCCCGTAGAGGAAGGCGATGACTACGCATACGTAACACATGTCCTAACCATCTCAGTCGATGTAATTTCACAACCTCGTCGATTGATTTCCCCTTCTTACCTAGCACTCGACGCCTAACCTCAATATTGCTCACCTTATTATACCACTTTACACGGGAGATAGAACGCAGGCACCTTTGATCGAACACAGCTAATCTTTTCATATCTTCCGCTCTCAATGGCCAGGTCTCACAGCCATAAAGGAGGACGGAGCGAACTGATGAGCAGTACACACGCCCTTCGGTCGATAGTCGGATATCACGTCTACGCCAGAGACGGCGTAAACTGGCATATGCGAAACTAGCCCTCTGTATTCGTGCTGAGATTTCGTCGGAGATCAACCCGTTGGGGCTGATGGTACTTCCCAAGTAAGTGAAGCGGTCAACGTGCTCTACCACTTCACTTCCTATTTCTAATCTAGGGGTCGGTGAAGTTCAATCATGCAGCATCATCTTACATTTTACAGGGGCGAATCGCATGCCAAACATACGAAGATTGCTGCTCAAGGTGTTCAGTAGACTCTGCATTTTGTCATCGTCCTCGCCTAGAATGACTATATCGTCCGCATATTCTAAGTCGACGAGATTATTCCCTGGTAGCAAGTCAATCCCTGAGTCGCTGAAGTGTGATAGGGTTAAGTCCATTAGTACGTCTATGATGAAGTTGAATAGGAATGGGGATAATGGGCATCCTTGACGGACACCACTAGTCGTCACAACTTCAGATGACAACTCGCCATAAGCCCTCACCTGGCTTAGAGTGCCTTAATCAGTGCAATGTATTTTCTCGGCATTCCCTTTACAGCCAAGCATCGCCAGAGAACCTCTCGGTCGACTGAATCGAATGGCGCCTTTAGGTCAAGAAATATAATGATTGTCGGACGCCGGTAGGAATGCCTATGTTCTAGAATCTGTCGAAGGGTGAAGATATGATCAATACACCCTCTTCCTGGTCTAAAACCTGCCTGGTTTTCTCGTGTTTGTGCCTCTCGAGCACCGCTTAGTCTACGCAGTATTATTGAGCCTAGGATTTTAGATACTATATTAGTCAAGCTAATCCTCTGTGATTATCACAAGAAGACTTGTCTCCGTTCTTGTATATTGGGGTGATCAGTGACTTACACCAACCCGATGGGACTTCCTCTGATTCCCAGACGCTGTCTAGAACCTCAGTTAATGCAGACAGTAAACTGTCTCCACCGTACTTAAATACCTCTGGAGTCATTCCATCAGGTCCCGCTGCTTTGCCTTGCTTCAGATTAGTGACAGCTTTAGTAACCTCAGTTAAGGACGGAGGACCTGTGTCTATATCCCATTCAGGGAGGTGTTGGATGTTCGGCAGGTTAAGTGTGGCTGTAGGCCAATTAAACTGCTCCTCATAGTGTTCTTTCCAGCGCTCCAGTCGTCTATCCTGGGAGCTAATTATGGTGCCATTTTTCTCAGAGATTGTTTCGCTTATCATTTGCCTTTTGCCACCTGTTTCCCTGATAAGCCTGAATAGTTGTCTGGTGTTGCCAATCGCCGATGCCTTTTCCATCTCTTTCGCTTTTGTCGCCCACCACTGTTCACGGTCCTTGCGAAGACTTTTTGTTAGTCTTCGTTTAAGTACCTTTCGCTCCTCATCATAGTCGGAGCTCGCTGGAATCAGCTTCTTGCGTCAATCAGTTCGGATGAGGCGGTAGAGATCCAATGGCTTTTATTAACTTTACGTTTTAGCTTATTGACAGCTTTCACGGCTGTGTCCACAGCTAACTGTATGTTGTGCCAGGCTACCTCAGGGGAAGTCCTGCTGTCGACCTCAGAAACTAGTTTCGCTATTTCTCCCTTAAATAAGGACTCAGTGTCACGATCTAGTTGGGGACGTAACAGTTTCGTTGCCGTCAATTTCTTATGTCCATTTAGTCGAAAGCACAAACGTGCGCGAACCAGAGCGTGGTCAGAGTCTACGCACGTGTTCCAGAAGAAGCGACAGTCTTCTACTGACCCTCGACAACGATACCCTATGGTTATGTGGTCTATCTGAGTCCAGCGTTGATTTGGTGATGGAGGTCGCCAGGTTACATAATGTCTTTCTTTGTGTCTAAAGTTAGTGCTGACTAGGAACAGATGTTTATCTGAGCAAAACTGGAGAAGACAATCACCGTTGTCGGTTCGTCGGCAGGGAATTCCATACGTACCACCTACATACTTCTCAGTCTGGCACAACTTCCCTACTTGGGCATTGAAGTCGCCTGCTAAAACAACTATGTCTGAACGTTTTGCTTTTTGCAGCAAATTAGACAGTTTCCGGTAGAAGTCATCTTTTAATTCATCCGAACTGCAATCTGTTGGGGCGTAAGCGGAGACTACGAAAAGGCAACGACGGGCAGCACCGTCTTTCCTTCTTTTAACGGACATGTTCAGACGGACTGCGCACATACGACTATCTACTGGGATCCAGTCAAGGAGCGATTTTTCCGCCCTAACACTCAGTGTTATCCCTACACCTGCGAGTCCTCGTGAGCTAGCTGAGGGGTCTCCCGACACCCTGAAAGTGAATTTTGCAGATTCACCTTGTTGACCGGGTGAGGTCAAGTGAATGACCACACTCAGGTCTTGTATGCGTGTCTCCGGAACACAACATACATCCATGGCTCTAGATTCCGGGGTTCTTGCTAGTGATGCCTGTTAACCGATTTGGCAGAGGGTCCTGACCTTAAAAGCTCCTATATGAAGTTGGCGACGTGGCTTTAAAAGGCTATCTGGGTCGTTTCTATGGCTCTCATCGTTGTTTGTGGACGAAGAGTGAAGTGAAGATGACTCACTAGCCTGAAGAATAGTGCTAGCTGTAGTAGAGAAGCAAGATGAGGAAGGTGATGTAAGCAGGGGAGAGTGATGCACAGGTAGGCTTCGTGTGCTTTTGGAAGTGTGTGGGCGGTTGTTACTTTCCGGCTGCCGACACCGTGGAAGTTGGTTGGGTCCTTCGGATACTTAAAATAGAGAAAAGGTTAATGTTGCGTGACTGCAGAGCCCAGGGGATAACTGTTTGAGGCCGGTCACACGCGGCCTGTTTTTGTTTGTTCTTATTCATTTGGTGTGTCTCAGTAACATATTTATCACTTCTGGCCTGTGACACGGTAGCATGAAGCGCGGTGGTTGTTAATGCGGGCCCCGACCGATCCGGCATGATATTTTGTGATTTACTTTGGGTCATAGCATTGGGTTGGGTAACTGCTTTTTGTCTAACCGCTATTATATTAACCTGAAAGTGACTAGTGGGACATTGACATAGAATATACTGCAATTGCATATTTTATTTTTAATAATTGAAATGTAAAGAATGCATTACAGAGTCAGCTTTCCTAGAAATACAAGACAAATATGTCTGGAAATAAGCAAGGAAGTTAATAGAGGAAAGTAATTAGTAAAAGAAAGTGAAAACACATGTATTCGAAATGTGAATTAGGTCACCTAAATTGTCTAAACCAAGTGTATTGGGTGTGCATCGTAATTCGGGATGAGATTGTGGCTCAAGTAGAGGTTAACAGCGACTGGATGGCAGCAAACGAGTTATAAGAAATCGGTTCTTTTAGCTCTGCGCTGAAGTTCGGTCTAATTCCAATTACCAACAATCACCATTGTGCTACCTAGCGTCTTAAAGCTTTTTATATTCTATCACTATCATTCGAAGTTGTAAGTCACTTCATGGATTTGTTTCGTCGTTTCTACACTCACTTATTAGAATGATTATAGGTGCTTTCATATTAATTTGTTTATTCGATATATCACACAATGAAACAGTATTATTCACTGAACGACTTTTCGAACATATAATTATATCAATTATAACTACACAACTTCGAAACTTGATTTTTGTAGTTCTCTTTCTCCCTTCCAATTCGCTGTAGTGGTAGTAAAATCTCCCAGAATACTTATAGTCATAGTCCCGAATATCTGGGAAATTCTACTACCCCTATGGCAAATTGGAAGGAAGAAAGAGAACTACAGAAATCAAGTTTTGAAGTTGGCTTATAGCTACAATTTATATGTTTATGAACAGTGAATTGTGTTCGAAAAGTCACTCACTAAATAATAGTGTTTCATTTTGTAGATATATCCAATAAGCAAATTAATATGAAATTACGTATTACTACATTGCCCAAGTCTTGCGCATTATTTATATATGCTCTTTTGTTTTTCTGTCTTACTAACGTATCCAAGTCGTTGATTCGGAAATGTAATTGTGCATCTTTCAATTTCAGCTCCCACTCTATTAGATACTGTGAGTAAAATTCTCCAAATATGTTCGGATTATTCAACCATAACTAGATTTGTACATGGTAAGTGCAGACATCCCTCTTATTGTTTTTACTTTTCAAAAGAGGTAGCAGTTCTTCTTAAATTTTTTGATGAATGAGTAGTATTTAGTAACTGACCAACTTAAAGGGTCATATTCTTTAAGATTTGGTGGTATACACATCACTGCCGTTTATCATATGAGTGAGATATCATTACGGATGCACTTATGTAACCTTTTTAAAATTTATAATGCATATATACCCCTTGTGAAGTGTTTTAAGTAAATTTTTACTTTTACTAAAGATAAATCAGCTTTGGAGCTTGGAATGGTTAGTCATGCATTAGCGAGTGCAATGCGTCTTTTTCTTCAAGATTATATGATTCTGGTATGCCGATTAGAACTTCAGCATAAAATGAGTGGATTGGGAATTGTAAAACTTCATTTCTTACTTCAGGTAAGTAATTGTGTTGAAATTCATTAAATCTCTCGAAAATGTCCATTTTAAATGGACAGATTATATTCTTTGCTTTCATATTGATTCTTTGTTTTGTTTACAGTGCATTGAATTTATTTAGTCACACGAAATAACTCTTATGTTACTAAAAGTGATTGTTTTAATGGTTTCAAACTTCAGTTCTTTTTCTCTTTGTTGAATACTTAGACTGAGTAACTATAGGTGTATTGTAACCTGTCACCAATGCTTTGAACTACCTTACTTAACAGTAGAAAACGTTAAATGTATTCATTATAGAATCTTTAATCTTTCATTCCCATTCATTCGGAAAGACTTTCTAGGATCCAGTAAGATTTTTAATTTCAGCAGTGCGTGCATGTTTTGCGTAAGCCTGTTACAAGGATATTCATTTTTATTTCGACCTCCGATTCATTACACATATGTACTTATGAACATAAATGGTTAAAAATTGATTGAATGAAATGTAAGATGTGCGAAAACTCAGTGCGATATGCTGCATTTACACTAAGAGAAGGTAACCCTGTGAATGTTAATAGAATATTTATTTGATAGATTTTAGCACAAATATAAAAGATGCAATTACTGGCTTTTGATCTTCTATTAATTGTGAAGTTTGCATAACATCTTTGTTTAGAAGTAGCTTATTGTACTACTTTTTCTTACTATGTAACAATGGCGCACTGTTATTAATAGTTTGTGAAACTATGGCTTATTCACAGCTGAAAGTGTTTCATAAAAAGAAAATGTATTTTTCTGAAAATTGTATTTTTCGTCATCTACAAAATTGTATTTTCTCCCTTTGATTAAGGAAACAGCCTCAACCTTTAGTCATATCACTCGTCTTATTATGGATATTTATATGGGAGAGTGTTCTGGTGGTACAATATTATCAGTGTTGTGGGACTCTATGCAGTCGGTGTGCAATGTAAAACATTTGTATAAATTGATGTTTCACCTCGTCTACTCTGTAAGTCTGAAAGTTATGTACATTGTTTTGAAATTTTAGTGGCATATCATTTGGTTGTAAGACTTAATTCTGCTTTTACCTTTTCCTGTCTTTTATGGTTTTTAAATATCAAGTTTTATATCATGAAGTGATGTGTATCTGAGACTGAAGTCTTCTAAACCATTATTTCTTTAAAAAACTCTAGAGTACTTTCAACACATAAACTTCTTTGGCTGGATAAAGCTGTTTGAATATTTCACAGAATCATGTCAATAAATGTGATCGTTGAAAGTAAAAGACAAATGAAATCTCTATATATTCGACCAACCTATTTCGTGTGGTACTGTGAAGAATAAAAGACCGAACGCAATCTTTATTAGGACAAACGCATTGTAGGTGCATATATTTGGTATACCTAATCCTTAAAACTTTCTTTGCACATCATTTGCAAATTGATCGAATATCACCACATTCGACAGCTTGTTGGATTCTGCACAGTGTTGTCACATTCTTCACACAGTTCTCTTCTTTGATTGCTTTTCCAGTGCCCGAAGCATATTGCTACTTTTCTGAATTCGTTTACTCATATGCTACTTATATATGATTATAAGTGGCACTCACCACACTCGCCCCCTTACTATAAAGTCTTTCCTGTAACCACCTCGACCGCCGCACAGATGTTCCATCCATCTGTTCTTCGGGTTTCTCGTCTTGACACTATTGTGTCCATCCTTGCAGCAGGCTGGCGTCTACTTTTTTCTTTATCCCCTCTCTTTATTGTGTAAACTCGATCACGTCTCGATGTGACCACATATGATCCCTCCTATTTTGGGAGAAGCTTTCCTGATCCTGGTTCACCTCCAGTAGTATACTTTCCTTCTCTACATTTTACCTGGTTGTCTACTTCAAACGGCTTCCAAGCTTTGATTTGTTTCTTGTCAGCTTTCTCGATGTCTGAATTTTGCTCCTCTTGTATATTCTGAATAACCTGTTTCTGCTCACTTTTCCATCTCTTACTGTTCCAATGTTGTTGTTGTGGCCAAGTTTTATGGTCCACCGGCAAGCGTGGTTTCTCCCCATACATCAGATGGAAGGGCGATTTTTGTGTTGTCCTCTGTATTGTGACACGACGTGCCAGTAATACCAACGGTAGGTCGGTTTTCGAGTTGCCTCTCTTCGCAGCTAGCCATTCCTTGAGTGTACGATTATTCCTTTCTGTTAGGCCGTTTGTCTGAGGATGATACGGTGTCGCTCTAATTCTTTTAGTACCCAGTGCCTCCAGACGAGTCAAAACGGACTTTGACCCGTCAATATCATTTTTGGTACACCATGATCCGTCACAATATGTCGAATTACTACCTCGGTGTTACGGTCTTGGCTCGCTGATCTGGAATCGCCACGTGGTGGGGAACTAGCAACTGCTCCCGCTAATATTCGTCCAAAGAGCTTAACGCGCGTCGCAGAAGACTTATAGGCGTTACTGCGAGAAATTACAGATCCCCTTCCCGACCAACCCCAAGAGTCCGGAACTTCTGTCGTCAAGATGCTCGTGTGTGAGTTCGATAGTCCCAAAGATAGACAAGGGGCCTTGCAGAAGTTCCAGACTCTTGGGCTTGGTCGGGACGGGGATCCGTAATTTCTCGCAGTAACGCTTACAAGTCTTCTGCGACGCGCGTTAAGCACCTTGGATGAAGATTCGCGGGAGTAGTTGCTAGTTTCCCAGCTCATCGAATGAGTCCCTACGGATATCGCTCATCAGTTGCAGCTAGTTAATGCAGCTCAACCAACTGATGTTCACGAAATGGCAAAGGTCACAAGGCAACTAATTACTTCGCATGTCGCTATAGTGATGATGGAGTGCCAAGAAGATTGAAGAGTTGAAACAGCAGGTGGCGGCTATGGAGATACAAGAAAGACACAACAACAGATATTTTGCTTGTGGGAGAAGTTGCTGGAAACGAAGGCAAAAAGACTTTAAACGATTCAGTCTTTCTTCTTTTTTTCGCTTGCGTTTGGGGGTTGTGGGATTAATCGAAAGTGCCGTATACGGAAGATTACGAGTCAATGAAAGAGAACTAGTTTGTTCGATCGACACAGGGACAGCAGTTTCGTTGGTAGGTAGAGAACAGTGTAAGGAAATAAGGGTGTGCACATTAACAGTTCAGGCGGTAGGGGGACGTTCTTCTTTAACTAACTCTACTATGAGATTTTTATGAACTGTTGTCTTTTTGTTTAAATATAAATGGTGTGTTCAGTAGATAAAAGTGTTTTATACAAAGTTGCGTCATTAGTTTACCTGAAAATATGCAGTTATTGAAGGTTTGTCGGAACCATATCGTTCGTTATAACTTCTTGATGTTACTTCACTGAACTTTCATTTGTAGACGTCCTCTCACAATTAATGCAACGTTAACTGGCTCCTCATGCAATATTGTCTTAACGCTCTATTATTTGTTGTAAAGAAAGAGGCTGAGTGGTCAAAAAGTGTTTATAGTTGAGTAACTTAGTGAAATTATTAAGAGTGTACAGTATACTCATCAATTCAAGTTGAGTGCTATTTAAATGCTACATAATCCGCTAAATTTATTTTATGCAAGATAGATCGTTCCGTGAACAGTATAGTTATTTTCTCAAAATTGGCTTTTGCAGTACTCACGAAGATGTTTATATGCATTATAATAAACAGAGTTCTTTTGATCGGAATGTGTTTACTGTGAAATGAAATGCACAGTGTGACATAAAATTACTCCATAATATAACTATTAAATTGATATTCACTTGCCATTAGTTGTTGTTTCATTCACATACTTTGTGGTCAATCACAGGAACACATAACCATCTGTTATCCTAAGATGGCAATCTGCTCAGGACTGGAAAGGTAGGTTACTATTCAATATTGAATGTTAATATACTAGCCATTGACTAAGTGTAGGGTCTCTGCTTTCAGACTTCTTCTATCGTGTTCCATATTTGCACAGTCATAAGTGAGAATCAGTAGGCAATATAAAAGACGAACTAGAAATATACATAATGCTCTATTGTGTGTGTAATGCATCGTTGACAGATGTTTCCTTTTAATGGAAAAATACGCCCTCAAAAGGTAATCACTGACAAACTGCATTCAAACAGTTTTATTTTTGTTTTTGCTGATGCAGTAAGAGATTAACACTCCGTTTCTGTTTTGAGATTTTTTCCCCGACGGCTTCATATACAAGACATTGTCTTACATTACATATTTAGGCATTATCAGCTTTCTTTACCCTTTCCATTTGAATTGTTTGATTATTTTTTTTCTACACTAGGCTAGTGTACCGTTCTTCCAAATCCTTCAAAAATGGTTATATCGTGGAATAATTTCAGATCCATATAAGGAGGTCAGTTGGTTGATGAAGTTTTGCTTTCTTATATGCATTGAATACAGTGTAAACACTTTAGTGTTAGTTATCTTTCCCTTATAATCCAAAAAGTGATCTACACGTGAAGAACTCCTTTGTTGTTGTGGAAGCAAGTAAATGAGATAGTCATATTGCGTGAAGAAAGTGGTAAGGCGCAGTCTTATAGGTAAAAGATGTTTGAGATAAGTGCTATACATTATAAGTAGATAGTTACTTTGAATTTAGCATCTGATAGTAGAAATAGACAGTGTGACCCGTCAACAAAATCTAATAATAGTAAAGGAGATATTGAGTCAAAATTGTACAGGAAAAATATTGCGAAAGTATGTTCCTCAGAAGTTTGATCAGTGCCATTATTTACATATTGCATGTGATTAGGGCATAAAGGACTGCTTTAAAAGCAGCACCTATTTATCTGCGTAATCGGTAACAATAATGGTACTCTGTGTCTACAGTCGGGTTGACTGCAAAATTAGTGTAAAACTCATTATGTGACTACAAACATTTCTTAGTTGAAGCAGCATTGTCCGGGACACTCATCACAGTATTGGATTAGGAAACCTTAATCATTTTTTCTATCAGTATTTATTTAATATTATACCGATATACGTTTCACAACGTTTCTTTTGCTTACTTTTATGTGTGACAATTTAAAGTAATACATATTTATGCAAGGTTCTACTGTGATAATTCAGATCAGTTTATTAATTCAATGATGATTTTGTGTAACATGAGGATTTCTATTCTGTGTTTAGCATTTCAAGCGCTAATGGAGTGTTGTAATCGTTTGTGTATTTTTTGTTATCACCTACTACTTTATGAGACATTGCTTTCGGAACTAACGAAGAAATCTCTTCTACTAACTTTTCATCAAAACTGTACAGTCAATATAGGGGAAGGTAAGGAGAGTTCCAAATTTATAATGGTAATTGACAACATGGGTCGGAGGTTATTGTTAGCTAAAAATGAAGCTAAATCAAAGTGTATGGAAAGTATCGTGTGAAAAATACACAATCATCTTGTGTAATCAAGAATGTGTGTAACTAATTAACTAGGTAATGAATGGTTACTTAGAGATAAGAGCATAAAAAATTGAAAAGAGATCACAAGAAATTACATCGAATTAATTATGCATAGTCAAGAAGACAATGTTGAGACTATGGTAGTAAGAAAGTTTGGATAGAAAATTTATGTACACAAAGTTTGGGTTTTTGCTTTGGCTGCATGAGGATGTAAGCGAAATCCTTTTGACTGATTCGATTTTACCTTATTTATGATGCTGAATAAAGTCTGCCGACGCTGCATGATTAGAAGTAATAATGTACTATAGGATTGAGATTCAGTGGACTTTTCCGTGTCCAACAATCATAGTAGTAGGTGTGCATGAGCAAGTCCAAACAATAAGCTGCTGGTACGGCCTATGTACTTAACTCAACAGAAGTAAATGAACTGATAAATACACGTTGAAGCTGCCAAGAGTGAGATCTTGTCTTTGAGGTTTTGATGAACAAGAGCATATGTAGAGGTGAAGTATGGAGATGCAGCAAAGAACTTTCTTCGAAATGCTCTGAACTGTGTGTTTATCTCCTCATTATTTTAAATTCTTGCTTTTTAAGTTGTATGGTCAAATATGTCGTCCCTACACAGTGTTAACTGAGATAGTCATCGATTGCATGGTTTAGATTTCGTATAACCGTCCACTGAGTTATGAGTGGGATGAATTATCTGATTCAATGAGAGAATTACTAATACAAATTTAAGAACTTCTTTGTGTACTACATTAATCAGCTTTGTAAATTTCCAGTTTTTTATAACAGCTGGAGACGTAACTGATTTGTCCGATCACAGTAAATCACCTCCGAGAAATCTTTACTCAGGCCCACTTCAATTTGATCGTCTCACTCAAAGTTATGTGGACTGGGCATACTTCTGGGAGTCACATTATTTCCTTGTGTCCTCAAAACTACCAAGTTTTCTTGAGGCCAGTGCTTCCAAGATACTCAATACAGGAAAGTATCTGAATGTTGTACAGCTATGTGGTAAGTTTTCTACTACATATAACTTTTATTTAGGTGCACCGAAGAGACGAATGTAGATTTTTTTTAAAGGTGGTGTTCATTATCACTTCTTAGGAATTCTAATACCATTTTATATCTAAGATTCACTTTGTATATAAGGGATATAGCAATCTGTTTTCCTAATTCGCAATAATTACATCATACAATTTCATCTACGAAACTACTTGAATATATAAATCCCAACGAGGGAGTCGCGAAGCACTAACAAGGATTAATGGAGCAAACGTAACCTTTATTCACCTTTCAGTGTTTTAAAACTAATATCTTTCAGCCACATGTGGATTTATCTATTAACTATTACTTTATAAGATTAATCTCCCTTTAATTCACAGAACTTCACAAAAAGGAAGAAAGAATAATGGAAATTGTGACCAAAACTAGAGTAAGATTGAGTAAAGAGCATCCACAGTGTTAAACATCTAGAAGTAATAATCAGAACCCCACTTAAAATTCTTAATAAAGCGTAAAATGAGGAGCAACTTTGCAGGCTGGAGGATTTCAGTAATTCTAGTTCACCAAATATTTCGCAATAACTGTGAGGTCAAGTTCATTGTTAAGACCATTAGTTCGCCGTCAGTTAGATTCTCAGAACATGATTTTGGGTAAGCACGCAAAAGAACTCAGCCACTTCAACTCTTGGATATACATGCAGCACATAATAGAGCGAAACAGAGCTACAATTTTTAAAAGTAATTAACGTAAGTATATAGCTAGGGCATTGTGATAGAATGTAACACCATATTAGATAAGTGTATTTTAAATATCACACAGTGATACATTATTAATGATTGGATGAAGTTTCAAGCATAAATCATTGCTACTAACCGTATCAATTTAGTCACACGGTTTCACAATTTCTCTTATATATATATTCTCTCCTCTCTTTCTCTTCAACTTCCGCTTGTCGTTTGTTGCCACTTTCCATATCTCTGGTATAGGCGTTGCATCATTCCGACACCATTGACTCCACTATGAATGGAAATTTACTAGTGATCTAGTACGCCGTATGAAATCATCTTTGGGTGAGTCGAAATAGTCCAATCTTATGCCTAAAACTAATAATCCTGGTAGAATGTATGGGACTGTAAAAATTCATAAAGCAGGATACCCCATCAGGCCAATAGTTGACATTAGGTACACCCCGACGTACGAGTTATCTAAATATTTAGGATTGATATTATGCTCCATTAGAGTAGAGAGGAAATTCACTTAGAAAAAGATGAAGAAATGATTAGTATCAGCATCGCCAGGTTATTTACTAATATTCCCATTAATACAGCTCTGGAGGCAGTTAGGAATGGAGTGAACATTGGCCCTGAATTCAAAAGCAGGATTAAGCTCTCGGTTGATGAAATAATATTAGGTGTTCAGTTATGTCTAACCTCCACTGTATTCAAATTTCAGAATAAACTGTGTAAACAAACGAATGGGGTGGCAATAGGATCACCAATATCCTCCAAAGTGGCAGACTTATTTATGGACAGTTGGGAACATGTGGCTATTAGAACGTCTAATCCCGCTCGTGGGTTATGATGGAGATATGTGGATGACTCATTCACCGTGTTGAAATCTGAACATATCCCTCAATTTCTCACACACATAGACTCAACAGTAAACGGAATCCAATTCACTTCTGAGTTAGGGAATGAACAGGGTGAGTAAGCCATGCTAGACTGTATAATAAAACGAAAACAAGATGGTGAGTTAGATACTAGCATGTATAGGAAACCGACACACTCTAATATATGCTTAGACTTTAACTCATCCCATCCAGAATCGGTAAGATAGGTTTGGTTAAATGTGTTTATAATCGGGCCAAGAGTCTAACTAGTAGGCCAGAAGACTTAAATAACGGAATCAAATAAATACAGAAAATATTTTTAGTGAATGACTACCCACAAGAATTTATTCAGAAATATATGAAGAACCATGGAAAAACTGAGACTGGCAATAAAAGTGACGAAAAAGGCGAAGATAATATAGAATTCAAAGCCTCTGTAGCACTGTCGTATAAAGAGGGGACGTCAGAGACCTTACGTAGAATTCTTAATGGCGCTGGAATTAGGGTGACATTTAAACCGAACAACTCTCTCAGAGATAAACTTTGTAAGACCTAAGGACTAAATAGATGCAATTAGGAAAATGATATAATTTACCAAATACCATGTGATGCCTGTAAGGTCAACTACAATGGTCAAACTAGTAGATCAGGGTCAACTAGATGAAAGAATATTGATAGAATAATTGATCCCACCTAGTTATTTATCCTAGAAAAAAGCTCAGGCATTGGATTGTATTCAAAATCTTGACTAATAAATTCTTACGGACTAAAGCTTAGATTAGATCATTTAAAATTAGATGGTGAGGAAAAATGGTTTGTTTTGACATCGTCAGTTTATATAAACATATACCGATAAATATGGCTATAGAAGCAGTCAGAAACGAACTCATTTCTGATCAAGGACTTGGACTTAGAACAAAAGTGCCTGACCCCCACCGTATTTAAATTAAAAGGGAAAATACACAAACAAACTGGGGGAGTTGCCATGGGGTCACCAATATCCACGACTGTGACAGATATGTTCATGTATAGGTGGGAAAACTCAGCGATTGAAACGTTCAGCCCAACCCCAAAAGTATGCTGGAGGTATGTAGATGACACATTCACTGTACTTAGAACACAGGATATAGATAGATTTTTCGGACACATTAACTCAAAGGTGGAGGCAATTCAACTCACTTATGAATTGGAAAGTCAAGAAGGGGAGCTTCCAATATTAGATTGTAGCGTAAAAATGAAGGAAGACAGAAAGTTAAACGCTAGTGTTTACTGAAAACCCACACATTCAAACCGATATTTGGACTTCTGATCATCACATCCTATGTCAGTGAAAATAAGATTGGCGAAATGTCTAAATGATGGGGCACAAAAGGCAAGTAGTACCAAGGGAAATTTAAGACATGAAGTGAGATGTATAAGAGAAGCTTTCGAACTCAATAATCACCCTGATAAATTAATTTTAGAAGTTTGTGGGGAAGTGTAGAAATAAAATTAATTATAGTAATGATGGCGATAAGAATAATGTCAATGACGACAAGGTGAGAGTAATAAAAAGTAGTATAGCTAGTTGGAGAGGGAAAGGTTAATCACTGAATCTTTGTTTATCGATTCAATACCACACACATGCAATCGAAATGACTCAACGTGTATACCAGATATATGGGAAGTGGCAACAAACACCAAGGGGAAGTTGGCGAGAGAAAAGGTGAGAAAGTATAGATAAAAGAAATTCTGAAAAAAGTTATATAATTAAGTTGAGGAAGAGGTTGGTTAAGAAATCCTTCATTGAATTATTATTTAACACATGGAATATAAATAATTCAACACGAAAACGTCATCCAGTTATTAATACTGTATCACTGTGTTGTCATGTAAGTGTGTCTAATACGGAATTACATTCTACCATAGTGCCCAAGTTCTACACCTACATTATTTTCCGGGATTTATTGAATCAGATGATTTTATTTGTTCTTGCAACCACTGAGGAATGTTTTCTCTAGTCCTGACCTGCAAAATTGCATATGAGTAGGATACATCAATTGCACTGCCGTAGCTGTATTGGCATTTTTCCTCAGTCTCAATTGTTATATCGTGTTTGTTTTTGAAAAATCCCTGTATGTTAAGAATTCAGAACACATAAGTCATCTTTATGTGTATATTATTGTCTTTTCTAATACTCCGTAATGGCACTTAGTTTTAGCATTTTTGTACTTTTGCTTTCCTGACTGAAACTTGTCTTTTTGGTGTACAAATGTTCGTTATGCCACTTTATACATATATGCCTAGTTAACTTTTAAATCACTATATACTAATAACATTGGATATTGAAGTTGATTTTGTTTCGTGATTCATTGCTATTTCCACACCCTACATTTTCATATTAGATGGTTAGGAAACCTAGTAAGTACTGTGTTGTTGAGTACTAATGTTTGATTACCACCAAACAAAGTTAACTTAGTGTGTTGTTTCTGTTAATGTACAGAGTAGGTGCACTTTGTGTGTTCTATAGTATGTTTACATTTTAATGAACTTATTGGCTGTATTAGAAATTAGCTTTTTCTTTCTAATTGTTGTAGAATTTCTGTAAGTTTAAGTGTTATTGCTTTAGAGAATAATTTTAAGTACTGCACGGAACAATTTATAAGTGTTACTGGCGTTGGTTTAAATACTTGATGATTAGGGACAGTCCATTGAAGTATTTAAAGATTTGTGTGTTCTATTTGAGTTTATAATTTAATTATCAGTGTCACAAAGATTCATCCTTGTCCATAATTTTACACTAAGATAGGTGAATTAGATCAAGTTTGATTTCACGTAAACCGTTGCACACAGTGCTCAGACATAACAGATCTCTTTGCTGTTACTATACTCATGAAAATATTCTTTATGTTTCTTTACTCATATCTGGACTTTAAGTCTTCTCAACATAAAATAAAAAAATGTTATATCTTTGTTGAGTACTATAATCTGCGTTTTACTCATAACTTTCTAGGTGATCATTATGAACTGCCTGTTTGCGAGGAAATTGCTTATAATGAAGAGCATTCAGTATTCCTGGAGAAAATTGACAAAGCCTATTTGTATGCTAGCAGTTTATTGTTGGATTTGATGCTGAAGCAGAAAGAATTGAAAGAACACTTCAAGTAATGTTGTCATATCTTTATGCTTAATAAGTGGTGAAATGATGCTCTTATTTCTTTTTTTTTAAAAAAAGAATAACAGTGAATTCATTGGTAGTACATAGTGATAATATGCCTGAGATATCTCATAGGTGTTTTTATTACAGTGACTAAATAAATGTTTGGAGGAGTTGAATAATTGAACAATTTTTTTGTTTTTGTTTATCACGAACCATTATCAATAAGCACTTTAAAAAGTAGGATAAACTACTAAATTTTTCCGTGAATTCTGTCCTCTTAACTTTATTTACATTTAAGCCTTCCTGGATTTGGCCCAAATGGTGTCCCAATCCTAACACAACATAACGATGGTCAGAGTCTAACCCTGAGCGTAGTATTTATAATAGTAATTCTCGAATATGGTCAAGTGTCTGCATGCTTGTACTTACCAGTTACTGACTCCTCGTGAAATTCAATAAAATATTTGTGTTATGGTAAAGAAAAGTGTATGTTTCGTCGTAAGCTTGGCAGACAAATAAGATTTTATTTCTGTTGATATGGCTTTTGCCAGTTCTTATCACTTGGTTTAAATAAAACTATTTAGATGACTATAGGCGTAATCCTGGTTCTTTTTTTGAAGAAAGATTGTGCAATCTGCTGTTTTTACCAGCACCTTGATAATGTCAGAAGTAAATAAAGAAGCGTTCAGCGATGAGTTGCTGTTTACAGCGACGAAATTTGGCACCTACATAATTACAAATTTATAATACATCATCATAGCAACAAGCAGAGTGTTTGCAAAACTTTTGCATCCCAGATAACGACTAAGAGATTCTGGGGAGAATTATGTAATACAGAGATATTAATTAGATAGTGACTAAGGCAAAATTCGGTGAGGAAGTTGAGTAACGCAACATAATTGACAGGATTGATCAGTGTTCAATTAATTCTGAACGAATATTAAGTCAGTATCAGTGTATGCATATGCCAGTTTACGCCGTCTCTGGCGTAGACGCGATATCCGACTATCGACCGAAGGGCGTGTGTACTGCTCATCAGTTCGCTCCGTCCTCCTTTATGGCTGTGAGACCTGGCCATTGAGAGCGGAAGATATGAAAAGATTAGCTGTGTTCGATCAAAGGTGCCTGCGTTCTATCTCCCGTGTAAAGTGGTATAATAAGGTGAGCAATATTGAGGTTAGGCGTCGAGTGCTAGGTAAGGAGGGGAAATCAATCGACGAGGTTGTGAAATTACATTGACTGAGATGGTTAGGACATGTGTTACGTATGCGTAGTCATCGCCTTCCTCTACGGGCAATGTTAGCTGATATAGGGTCAGGCAGGAAAAAAGCTAGCGGTGGTCAAACGAAAACATGGTACCAGTCAATGAAATCTACAACAGTTAGTCTAAGCCACGTAGGAAGATGTAGACTTCCTGGTTGGGGTCCTCGGGACGGTAAAAACCAATGGTTGGAAACAATTGGTGACATGGCTGAAAATCGTTCTCAATGGCGCAGATGCATCCACTCCTTGTGACTTATGATTTCCAATTAAACTATTTTGTTCTCCGTTATTACTATTACTTTGTCTCACACCTCTGTTTAATGTCTATATTATGCAATTCTTCTACTTTCTTCTCTTGCTTTGTGTGCTACATGGAGTGTGGCGACTTGAACTGCCGCACATATGTGCAAAGTTCTATGTCGAAAACAGACAGACAGTATCAGTGTTGGAGAATGATGTCTCTGAGAAGAGTAATTTTTTTCACTGAACTTCTTTTTTTAATGGTTAAATGGGGATTTTTATAACCAGAAATGTCGAGTAAAAGTAGTTCCCATTGTTTTCGATATTTTTTTGCATTTTTTTTTCTAGGAGAAAAGAGTGTAGTTATTCTAATTATACTTATCGTTTACCATTGAACTCATAACATGTATTTCTGTTTTAGATCTGTCAAACGTTTTTTGCTTTTGGATCAAGGAGATTTCATTGTCCACTTTATGGATGCTGCTGAAGGAGAACTACGCAAATCCAGTGAAGGTGAGCTAGGCTGTAGATGCTTATTCAAGTAATACTGGTAAACCTTAACGAAAATGAGAAGTTGTATTGTACAACAAACATAAATTTCTTTCTTGTTAATTAAAATGCCTTTTTCTTTTTTCTCCTCACAGTTGTTTCCGAGTCACGTCTTAGCTCACTCTTAGAGTTGGCGGTTAGAATCAGTTCGGCAAATGCAGATCCATTCAAAGACAATTTAAAGTATGTATAAATTATTGCTCCGCAATTTTTTTTCGTAGTAATTCACTTTGGAAGCTTTTTGCTTTACTAATGTTATCATTGAAATTGTGTTTAGATTTTCTATTATAACACGTGTAATTCCATCTGCTTACTTTTGTGAAATAATTTCTGCTTTAAATTAACTTTCAGAGTTGTGATATTTCGTTTTGATCTGATCACTCAGATTTTAATGGTTTTACGCGCTGGATCCAGAGACAAACTAGGTAATTCAGTATTTCATACTTCTTGTTTTGTTTTGATAAACTGTACCTTTTTTTTAAAAAAATTATCTTGTATTACAATATTGTAAACTAAGGTTATGACCATATTGTTACTCTCCCGACCCCTTGTTAATGATTAAATGATAGTTGTCATAAGTAGAACATTTTTTCGGTTTTTAATTACCGTATTAAGACTTCATTTCTACGTCTGAATATATATTTCTGAAAGGTTACACAAGTGTCTGCATTAAATACTTGATATTTTTTGACGTCTCTTTCCTCCTATGGAAACAACAGACTTTGTATGTGAAGAACTTATTAGACGAAACATTGATGTTGGCATGCCGGTATCATTTATGAAAGTGCTTTTGAAATGCACAGTGATTGCTCATTTTTTTTACTTAATAAGGAATTATACAGACCAATTGATAGTATGGCGATTGGGTCATCATTAGGACCAATTCTAGCTGATATTTTCCTTGCAAAAGTAGAGAATGGGCCTTTGAAAGGTGTAATTGATGAACTAGAATTCTATTGTCGTTACATGGATGATGTATTTGATTATGAAAAATGCGGATGAAGCAAAAAAAACATGCTTGACAAATTTAACGGTGTGCATCCTGCAATAAATGCTACCGTTGAGAAAGAAGGAAACTGTAGTATTTCATTCCTAAACGCTCTTATGACTATAAAAGAGGACAGTACAATAAGAAGTGTTATAGAAAACCTACATCAACTGGTCAGTAAACTCATTTTTTCAGCTTCGTACCTTTGTGACAGAAAAGCGATCTAATAAAGTATTTAGTTCACAAAGAAACAACATTCTACTCTGATGAATTTCGTATTGAAGAGCTTAATATTATTAAAGTTATTGAGTGAGAACGGTTACTCAGAGAACTTCGTCTACAGAAATATGAATCAGAAACCAAAGTACCAACATTTTCCAAAAAGGGCTTGTTCTTACAACTCAGTTCCTCGGTGATAACACCAGTGAATTGATAACACAACGCCTAAGGAATGCGGTAAAGTAGCATTCAGTCTGGCTGAGGTACGCTGTCGCTCCAAAACCACCCCTGTTGACGTTCAAGAGTTAAAGATAAACTGCCTAGTTTTGCCTCTCCTACGTGTATCTATCATTTTGACTGCTCCTGTGGAGCCAGTTGCACAACACTTACAATTAGGCGTGTTTATCGTCGGATTTCCGAACACCATCCTTCGTGGTTAATTAATGGACTAATAATCATGTGTTAGTCCCTTAATTAACCACGAAGGATGGTGTTCGGAAATCCGACGATAAACACGCCTAATTGTAAGTGTTGTGCAACTGGCTCCACAGGAGCAGTCAAAATGATAGATACACGTAGGAGAGGCAAAACTAGGCAGTTTATCTTTAACTCTTGAACGTCAACAGGGGTGGTTTTGGAGCGACAGCGTACCTCAGCCAGACTGAATGCTACTTTACCGCTACTTTACTTTAAGGGACTAACAAAGGACCGTGAACAGTGGTGGTTGGCAAAGGCGAAAGAGATGGAAAAAGCATCGGCGATAGGCAACACTAGGCAACTCTTTAGACTCATCAGGGAAACGGGTGGGAGAAGGCAAATCATAAGTGAGACTATTTGTGAGAAAAATGGCTCCTTAATTAGCTCTCAGGATAGACGGCTTGAACGCTGGAAAGAACACTTCGAGGAACAGTTTAACTTGCCTACAGCCACACTGAGCCTCCCCGCCATCCAGCACACACCCGAATGGGACATAGACACTGGCCCACCGTCTGTAAGTGAGGTCACCAAAGCTATCTGTAATTTGAAACGAGGCAAAGCGGCAGGACCCGACGGAATTATTCCGGAGGTGTTTAAATATGGGGGTGACATGCTAGTATATAGTTTAACTAAGGTACTAGGTAACGTCTGGGAATCAGAGACGGTTCCATCAGACTGGGGTAAGTCACTTATCATACCAGTATTCAAGAAGGGACATAAGTCCTCATGTGATAATCATAGGGAATCAGCCTAACGAACATAGTCTCTAAAATCCTAGGCTCAGTAATCATAAACAGACTAAGCCGAACTCGGGAGGAACAAACGAGGGAAAATCAAGCGGGCTTTAGGCTAGGTAGAGGGTGCATAGATCATATCTTCACTCTCCGACAGATCCTAGAACATAGACACACTTTTCGGCGTCCAACAATTGCCATATTTCTTGACTTGAAGGCGGCCTTCGACTCCGTGGATAGAGAGGTTCTATGGCAATGTTTGACTATGAAGGGAGTGCCAAGAAAGTACATTGCACTAATCAAAGCACTCTACTCAAACTCACGTAGCTGTGTAAGGGCTTATGGGGAATTGTCATCTGAATTGATAACAACCAGTGGTGTCCGTCAAGGATGTCCACTTTCCCCTTTTCTGTTTAACTTCATCATAGATATGCTAATGGAAGTATCCTTAACCGAACTTAACGACTTAGGAATCGACTTGTTACCAGGGAATAGTCTTATGGACTTAGAATATGCAGATGACATAGTCCTGTTAGGGGAGGACGCTGACAAAATGCAGAGTCTTCTGAACACCTTGAGCAGCAATCTTCGTATGTTTGGCATGCGATTCGCCCCTGTAAAATGTAAGATGCTGCTACAGGACTGGACTACGTCAACTCCAAGCTTAGTGATAGGGAGTGAAGTGATAGAACATGTTGACCACTTCACCTATTTAGGAAGTTGTATCAGCACCAACGGATTGATTGGTGACGAAATCACAGCACGGATCCAAAAAGCTCGGGCTGCTTTCGCTAACTTACACCGTCTCTGGCGTAGGCGTGACATCCGGCTATCAACCAAGGGACGTGTGTACTGCTCAGCGGTTCGCTCCGTCCTTCTCCATGGCAGTGAGACGTGGCCATTGAGAGCGGAAGACATGAAGAGATTGTCTGTTTTTGACCACAGATGTTTACGATCTCTTTCTCGCGTTAGGTGGTATAATAAGGTAAGTAATGTTGACGTTAGGCGTAGAGTGTTGGGCAAAGAGGGAAAATCACTCGAAGAGGCTATAAAGTTACATAGATTGAGATGGCTAGGTCACGTGCTGCGCATGCCTAACCATCGTCTCCCCCGACGGGCATTACTAGCTGATATAGGTGCAGGCTGGAAAAGAGTAAGTGATGGCCAAACAAAAACATGGCATCAATCCATGAAATCCTTGACAGTTAAACTGAGTCAGGTAGGGAGATGCAGACTTCCGGGTTGGGGCCCTCGGGACTCTAAGAATCAATGGCTGGAGACAATAGGTGACATGGCTCAAAATCGTTGTCAATGGCGCAGATGTATTCAGTCTCTTTAACCTTCATATTCCTTTCTACCATTACTCATTCTGTTTCACTCTTATACTTGTCAAAACTCGATTGATTCTCTTCACTCATTTTCTTGTCTACCTTTGTGTGCTATTTGGAACGTGGCAACTCGAACTGCTGCACTTCGGTGCCAAGTTCTATGTTGAATCCAGACACACAGACAGACAGAAGGGACTAACAAAGTCCATTCATAGTTCTATTCCATCGCATCTCGTGGATACAGAACACAAGAGTGTTGTTAGCAAGGCTTTTCAAAGTCGTCTTCCGTATACCAACTAATCTTAATTTTACCTCAAGAGTTATTCTATTACATATTGCTGAGGTTGTTGGAATCTACAGTAAGAAACCTAAATTATGTGTCCAAAAGAAGTTGGTTCAGACACTTTCCTTACCTTGGTTACCAAGGCTTTAACTATCCTTAATTTACTGCATAAATTTCCTTAGTTTTATTTGATATTCTTTTTAATATTACATTTTTATGCTTGTTGTAACATATGTATCTTTGAAACAAGCAACAAAAGTTAATAAAGCAGGACTTAATGAATTCATCGAATTTTGGTAGAACTCTTCAGCTGGATACTCAGCACACAGCGGTATAAAATTAAGGTGAAATGCATTACATGTCAATTATGTCACTTAAATAAACAATTAGGTTTTCAGTGAGTGAAAGAACCTAAATATATGGAGAATTGCGAACTGAATAATAATATTGATAATAATAGTAATACTAATAACGGTAACAATAATAATAGTGATTATAAGAATAATGTTAAGATGAATTAAGATAATGATGATGGTAAAAGTTTTAAATGGATCAGAAATATCACTAAGAGGTAGAATAAAATAATAATAATAGTTAGTGAGTAAAACATATTGCCATGGTAGATTCAGAGTCAAGACCATTTCCTTCTGCACACAGAGACCTGGCTTATAAACTCTAATTACACAAGCCTCCTCAACTGCAAGCATCTTCCTCGTTGTTTGTCCGCTGACAACAGTGAATGACTTGGCAGATTCAATATCATGTCCGTAGACCACAAGGTGCTTTGTTATTGAGCTTCTAGGCACTTTGACTTCAGCTGTTTTTAACCACCTTGGCAAATGATCCATCATGTGGGTAGGCAATCGACCTATCTACTTGCTTCCACAAACACACTCAAATTGATATACGCAGTTTGAAGTGTCGAGAATTGGCAGCTGGTCTTTTCCAGATTGTTCATATTCAGCTGTACTGTCAGGACAAATTTTTCGTGCTCTATTGAACAGTGTTCTGACTAAGTTCTTTCTTTATTGGATTGGAACAAAACTTTTAAAATGTATGTACTGTCTCGTCCATGAAAACTTTCTAAATACATATCTTTCCATTATGCTATCATTCCTTCCACTAGAGAAATATCTAGGAATTTAATGGTATCATTTTCCTCTTGTTCTGTTATGAAGCTAAGATTCAGATGGCATACGTTGAATTTTGTCAATAGGTCTTCAACTTTTGATTTGCTTTCACAGACAATAAAAATATCATCAACATATCTTTGGTATAATTTCGTTTGTTGTATATCCTGTTGCACTTCCACTTACAAGGTAATCAGAAACTAAAATATGTAAACAAAATAGAATAATTTATATAGAACATTGTGCAAGTAGGCAGGTGTACTTATTAAGAGCACTTAAATAGCGTCCATTACTTATTAGATTATCCAAATTGCCTTTGTGTATGTCCCCTACTCAGACAAATGATGCTTGTCTTTTTGATATTTTTAGGTTTCTTTGCGGTTAAGCCAACTGTCATTGCTTTTTATAATAGACCGTGGGTCATCATTTGTAGAGTAGGTATTTACGACTTCAACCAACTGATATGTTCCCATCGCACCTGAACATTCCTTACCCTGTAGTTGCCCCCACAAGAGGTATATTTTGGGAAGATTAGATGGCTGCATTTATCTTTGTGATTGCTCAACGCTTTTTTTTCTTTAATCCGTAGTTTTGGTTTCATAGCAAATTGATTACTAATCCATTCTATTTAATTAAATGTTATTCAATTTTAGACAGTTGTATTGAAGACAGAAATCTTTCTGGATTGGAAGCGTTTTGTTTGGATTATACAGTTGATTGGCCAGTTGATCTTGTTCTAAATCGTCAAGTAATGGATCGTTATCAAATGCTTTTCCGACATCTACTGTATTGTAAACATGTTGAAAGATTATTGTGCAAGTAAGAATTCTTTTTGTTCCATTTGCAATCTGAACAACTAAACACTTACTGATATATGAGAAAATGCACCACTGACCTGCTTAATATAAACTTGTATCTCTTAATTTTAAATGGAGGCTTTGTATCAACATTTCATCTCACCAACCAACTCGAACATAAGAATTCCAACTCCTGAAGGTCTCTGAATAATTTTTTTAGCACAGTGGATAATGTGTTTTGTATTGCTTTACAACAGTTGGTAGCAGTTATTAATATAACGTATATATAAACGTTTTAAAAGTAATAGTGTATGGGCGGTTATTATTCACCCGTTATCCATACAGTGAAAGTTGATTCCTCCTTGAAATACACGGAACTAAGAGTAGTAGTTTTACGTAACTACAGAGCTCAGGAGACAACTGCTAGAGACCGGTCACATACGACCTGTTTGAAGGGATTCTTGGAATTGTATCCTTATGAGGATTTTACTGTCAGCTATGGGTCAAAGCAAGGAAGGTCAAAGTCAACAGTTTTCAGGGTCCTCCCTCCCTACAGTGGAGAGGCAGCTAGCCTGTGGTCATCTGAGGGAAACCTTACTTCTGTTACGTCCCTGTTTGCTACTAGGACGACTTTCCTCTCATAACTCCTTCCCCCCCTCAACACTGTGTGAACGACTTGTACTTTGATTGTAATTGTGTTTAATCTAACCACTATCTAAAACATTCTTTCTGGCATGGTAGGATCTGCATAGCCAGTGTAGCTCATGGGCTCATTGGGATATGCAAGGCCGACAAAATACGTCACTGTTACAGCTTTCTGTCGGGTGTTCTAAGAGTATGTCCATTAATTCCATCAGTTCAGCTTTTATTATTCCCTGATTCTTCGTATTTGTTTGCTTAAAAGTTGAAAACTAGACAGCATTTCGCATACAATATTCAGTCACTAGAAAGCTGAAATATGTTTCTTCCTTCAATAACATAAAATGTACTCCTGATTTCAAGATTGATTTTTGAAAAGGTGGACACCTTAAACATCAAGAATTGTTTCCGGTTTTTGAACACCTTTTCGTTCGGTAAATATAGTGGGGATAATTCCATATTAGATAATAATGTATAAATATCTTTTGTCTACTAAACTTATTCAATTCCACTCTTACAATAATAGTAAAGGATAATAAATCGGTTTCTGTGTCAACGCTAGTCACTTAGAACATGAATTGGTACCATGTTGTAGATGCAAACTCTAAACGCCAATATCAACTCTCACTTACATCTTTGTCAAACGAAAATTAACCAGACAATGTAACCAAACATATTTATGAGCGATAATTTTTAAGAATTGTGAAATCTAGCGAAGTGGTTTAGAGAACAACTAATTTGTACGAATAGTAAAATTTGTTTCATGATTGTGGGGACAATTCGAATTTTAAGAAGAAATTTGATTTCGTAGATTCTTCTTCTACAGGTGTAAAACTTCATATTCACATACCACTTGTTGTGTAGGGATTTCAGTTTAAATGTTTCTGAAATACTTCCACTAATAATTGAGAACTTAGCAGTCGAAATGGTTATAAAATCAGTGTTGACACTGCATTTGTGTAAATCATCAAGAGTCATCATTTTGAAAGAATGCCTTTTGCTGCACTTTTTAGATTATAAAGTTGACTTCGTTTTTTCTTTTATATTTTTTAGCTCTTGGATTCTCGGTAAACTTGCTCGTAAATCGGATAATCTAATGACAACGTCGTTTACAGTAGCTTTTATCTTAGCTCAAAGAATGCTTACATTTATTCAACATTTTCAATATTACATGACAGCTGAGATTATTGAACCAGCTTGGCATACTTTCTTCATGCGTTTAGATAAGGTACGTTGAGATCTATGATTAACAAATTGGTTTGTTATCATCTCTATGTAAATTTGTCAGTATGGATTGATCTGGGAAAATATATCAAGTATTTCTATATGAACCCTTGTAATCTTCACTTTTACACGTTCATAAGTTGAAAACAGTTTATTCCTCGGGTATGCTAAAAGTTTGATTTTCAATCAAAGTGAAATGCTTCAGTACAGAAAGTAAAACAAGCTATTCATCTATTGAGTTAAGTATTCACTAATTATGTTACATTAAAGATCGGTGGTATAGCGGTTAGGACGCTCGCCGATCATGCTCATGGTCAGGGGTCCGATCCCTGGCCGACGCACTCTTTTACCTCACTAAGCCAAAAATAATGCTGGTGAAGAGGAAAGGTTGGGCATGAGGCTAGCAACCCCATCCTGTAAAAATAAAACACTGCAACAGAAACTTCAAGTCACTAACTTGAAGCCCTATGTTCCACTGGGGAACGTGAAGGAAAAAAAAAGATCAATTATTTATACACCCATATAGGTTTTGGCACTTACAGTTAATATAACTGTACAACACTGTTTGATTTATCAAAATAAAATCTTAACCATTATGGAGTTATACTCTACCACAGTGCCCAAGTTTTATACTTATATCAACTTACAGCTAAATTTTGATTTTCGTTCGGTTATCCCAAAAGTCGTCTTGTAGAAAATATGTTATCAGTAAAGTTCATTAATTCGGGAGAATGATACCGGATAGGGAAACATATGTATCTGAGAGTTTTTTTAAGAAAATATTCGGTTATACCATTGTCTGCTTGAACGCATCTCGGACAGAACATAACAGTTCATTGTCTACTCCATTTGCGGTCTCCATCTCAAATGCATCTTACTAAGTTCTCCATTTCTTGTAAAGAAAATATAATCAACCCCTTGTAGAGCGAACATTCTTGCGATCGATCTACTGTGAGCTTCTAAAATACGTACAATAGTTGCCCGTAGACAAAGCATCCATGAAACACTCATACATATGAAATACGGATGATTTGTCAAGCAAGGACTAATACCTCACGCCGCTTAGATTAATGACACAGTGACTGCAATTACCGAAACCATATATATACGGTATGTCGTCCCCTTCATAATAAGATGGTTGAAATGCTAAATATTGATTTCAACTAAAGTAGTTCTGTTAGTTAACTAAGCGCAACCAGTTGTAGATGAATTCAGTTTTAACAATACGAAATAAGAATGTGACGTTAATGAAATTAAATCTAACTGTTTGTGTAAACTGTTTTCAGCTACGAATATCCATCTGGTGTATATTATGTAAAATACACTTACATGTAATGTACTCCCAGTAATGACAAAATAATTTCTTGATTCGTACATATCATTCAAAAATGTAAGGGTGGTTTCGACAAATTTTATATGAATCTTTTCAGCTGAATCGGAGAATGCATTATTTCATAATTTCGAAGTGCTTTATTTAACAATTACTGTGTTTCTTATTTCAGTGTAACTTCAATTCTTTTCTCTAACAGGTATCGAATTTGGATGAACTTTTAGAATCACATCTACATTTTCTGGAAATATGTTTAGATGACTGCCTACTGGCAAATCCCAAACTTCTGAGTTTAGTCGGGAAATTATCAGTGGCATGTGTAACATTTTCAAATTTCATTCAGCATTTAGCTTATACAATAACTGGAATTAATTTATCATCAGATAATGATCGTCATGATGTTAACTTCATACGACGTTCCACTGATTTGGGAAGAACATTCCTTCACGATCCCACACCGTCAACAGTTTTGGGCAAAGCGACAAACGAAAGTAGATGTGCACCTTATGGATCCTTGAATGGTTCAACGGAATCAATAGCAAAAGTAAGAAGTTAATTATCCTAGTGATTAATAATTAATACTTTTGTGTTTTCTTAAAAACGGTCATTAATTGATTCTTTACCGACACTTATCTCACTAATCGAGCGAAGTGTTTAGCAAGGTCATTGGCCTATTTGTGTCCAACTCTCCCTCGATTGACATAGACCGTTGCTGCATGAAACGATATAATGGCCAGAAACAGATGGTTATTCGAACAGAATTGTAGCAAATGCAAAACCTGCTGCTGTCTGGACTTTTTTTCACCCATCTTGTTGAGTTTATGAAGCAGTATGAATAAACTGAATTTTCAGCGTGGAACTCCGCACAAAAGTTGTTGTAATTGTGATAGTACTGGATTTCGGTTCGTTATTACTGCTAATTCAACATACAACTGATCACTTGAACACTATTCCATCATTGGAAAGAAAACAGAAGACGGCTGGAGACAGCACTCACCTTACGAAAAACTCCACCACGAAACATTTGACTCTATCTGTAGTGCACAGTGAAATTTTCAGTTTAACAGATAAGTAATTATTTAAGAGTAATACGCACTCAAACGTCATATCGGATATGGTAAGTCACCATCCATCTATGCCGTTTAGTGAATTCAGTAAAATTTCACCCACTATTGGAATGGAAAAGATATCTGTTTCAGTTTATGGATTTATAGGTCACCCGCTCCGTATACTGGAAAAAGTTGATGTTAATAAATAAAAGCTCAATTTGGCAAACGGTTACGGAAAATTGTCCACGAATAGTTGGTTCTTGCTAATATGAAGAAATTAAATTCATCCATATCCCTGACGACATCTTTAATTCCAGATGATCCAAAGCGATCAGCAGGAGGCTGACGTTAAAAGTCTGATTGCTTTATGCTTCAACCCCCAGGAGGGATGAAATTGGAGAGTGAATTTGTACTCCTGAAACGAGTAATTCCATATTGACCAACGGAACCTGTTCGATAAGCTATGAACAAACTGAAACGCGATGGTTGTCATTCAGCAAGTTAGTAACTCACTCTGGGCAACTACTATAGTGACAGTACTAAAAATGAATGGAACAAGACCAAGTATATGCGGTTACTTCAGGATTAATGTTAATCCTAGGTTGCATGAATGTCGTATGACAATAGAAGAACCAGGAGACTTGTACAATTAGTTACTTAGTGATGTAATTTTATATAAGATTGATCTTTCGAATGCCTTTGTTCAGATGCCCATACATGAAGAGTCTGAATCTCTAACCACAACAACAACAGTGTGATTATTTCAGCGTAACTTCTTTGTAAATATTTCTCCTGATATATTTTAAACTGCTGTAGATGAGGTGATGACATATCTGCAGGGTGCAAATGCGTACCAGGGTGACGCTACTGTATTTCGTAATGGTGTGTGTAAGCATGATATCATGTTACTTGCGCTAATTAGATTTTGGTATAGGAATGTAGTCACTAGACCTCAAATCTCTATTTGAAGTCAAGGAATTACCGTATTCATGGTTTCTGCAATTATTGTGGACTACTTTGAAGCTATATCTGAAGCTTCTCAACTCAAAAATCACAAACAGTTTCGGTCGGTAGGCTAAGTTAATTACTAATGCTTCCTCACTAGGAATTCGTCCAGTCCTGGAACAAAATGACCGCCCGGTCATCTGCATTTCGAAAAAACTCTCTAAAACCAAACAAGGATAATCTCGAACACAAAAGGAGGCTTCAGCCGTTTTTTGGCAGTAATAAGATTGCATAAATGTGCATATGGGTCTAAGTTTACTATAGATATAATGATTACCAAACATTACAGTTTCCATTCAGTACAAATAAAACTGTCACAAAGTATGCTGCAGCCATATTACAAAGGTGAAGTCCAGGTCTTATTGCGTACGGCTGTGATAAAGCTGTGGTAAAAGCAAACTTTTTGTCTAGGTTCGCTAGATTTCAAAATAGTAATGAAGATGTCAATAACTATTCGTTGTTCACCCATCCATTGTTTGTATCACGTCCAAACGTGATTAGAGAAAGGAAGAAATATGAAGAACTTTTACAAAGGGCTTTAAGCGATCTCCTGAAATTTATCAAAGACGAGATGATTTGTCCAAACCTTCGATGGGCTAGTTTAGATAAGTGATCACACAGTAATACCGACAACCTTACGCAAACAAGTTCTGGATAATTTGCATTAAAGGACATTTGGGGTTTAGGGAAGATGATGTCACCAGCGTAATTAATGTGCTGGTAGCTTACGAGAAATTATGGTATACGCTCCATATGAGTTAACTGTTCTAAGTGTGTCGTGTCAATGGAATGTTGATGTAGAAGAATATCATACTTCAGTAATTCTTCACAATTTCTAGTGTAACTTGTTATATTTATAAACACTGTGACTAGAAGTTTAAAAATGTGATTATTTGTTTCTGTATTAATTTGAGGTCACTAGGGAAGAATTCGGTAGGATGAGCTTATCGGATGATTTCGCTAAGACAATTGCCAACTTTGATATAAATTTCAATCGACTTTTAGTTGAACTTCTTGAAGAAATCAAAAAATATACACATTATCCAAGCAAGCTGTCAGGTTTAGTATCAAGGTTAGTTATCTCCTCATGCCTCTTTATTGCTGCACCCACTCAATATATATTGTTTTTTTTTTGTTAATTGCCATATTTTTACATACTGAGCTTCTGTTCTTTGCTTTCGGTTATTATGACGAAAGTATTGTAGATAATATCATCACTTTCCATTAGTCCAAGTAACTGGAAAGAACACTAAGAATCATCCGTAAAACCTACATTTGTAGAATACCTCAAGACAAAAGAAGGCATAAATATAAATAAACTAAATACTAATTTTCAGTCGTGTCATTTAGATAATAATCACTTTATTCCAAACAATAATAATTATACATAATGGAATTTTAAGCTATATTCTTGTGTTCACACAGATCCTGCACAGGCAATTTACAATTACTCAAACAGCTCAAGCCAACATTAGAATTACCAACAAAGATAAGCTTGACATTCGATAAAATGTGAAGTGTTCAAATTAGCGAGGTTTATTAACTGATTGGGTTTTATAGTTGAATCCCTACTAGAATATAAACATAACCAACGCTATCAACGATATTTCCTTATGCTTTTGAGGTGATTTTAAGTAACCTTGTTGTTCAAGTACTCTCAGCTACTAAAGTTTACCTTGTGCTGTAACTACTTGAATCCCTATAATTATTATGGTATATAGAATAATTTTATCTTCAATTGTGTCTTCTCGTATATCGGAGATATTTGACAATGGTACATGACCGAATGTATTTTTACGGGGAACTCAACGGGGTCGTTTAGAAAACGTCTGTTTGTCATATTTTATATGATTGTATTGACTAACAGTTCATGGCTGTCATCTTAATTTTTGTAGACTTGATTTTAATGAGTTCTACACCAACTACACAATTCAACAAGAAAGGAAAAAATCGACCGGTTTTTCGCGTGATCGCGGTGACAGTTCTTCTGCTGAACACAAGCCAATGTCACAACAAAACACATCTGATGACGACGATTATATTTAACTCAGATTTTTTAGTGTTTTAAATATGTTTTTCTTCGAACTGTGGTTTCTGATACCCTTCTGTTTTCGTAACTTTGGGGGATCACAATATATTTTTTGATGTTTGTGTGAAAACTTATTTTTATACATTCACTTGCTTTGTATCCCTTTTGAAAAGAAAACCTTGTAACAATAAAACATATATATGTAAGAGATCTGCGGTTTTCAATGACCATCAGGTAGTATTTTTGTCATTTAACGATAATGAATATTGTGCACTTAGTCGCATACGCAATATTTATCATGAAACTTATGTGCTAACCATATTTGGATAGCAAATTTTAAGTAGGTAGTCAAGATGACACTACAAATCGGTATAGGTATGAATCCGTTTCTGATAGTACTTTGATTGAAGTATCAAATAAGAAGTTATCGCTTTTAACTAGTTCTGTAGCTTCTTTATTTATTATCAACATGATCCAATATGAACAAATGACGGTTGGACACAAGTAGCAGAAGCAAGTTGGTAGTTAAATTATATCGAGATTCGTAATAGGTTATTTGGTACGGTACATGTGTTTCTCATAAATCTGCTTTCAAGAAGTCATCCGGTATGACTATCTGCTCTCCTGGTTTAAACGGTGGGAGTCCACGATACGGACATGTAGAACAGCGGAAGGCATCTCCTAGATAACACTACAAAGTAAGTAAAAAGAGTTTTTAAATACCAACTAAACAGTAAATAAATAAAGAATTTTCAAATGATACTAAGTTTTTGGACAAAATAACGATCCTATTCATTTACGAGGAGAATAAAGCGGACTAGTTTCATATATGGTACATGCACATTAGCTTCCTTTCTTTTTATTTAGACCGTACAATGGGTAAAATGATATACTCCAAACTTCGCTGTAGTGTATGAAATTTCAAACCTGTCCCATCGTTTCACACAGATGTTTGACACGCCTACCGTAGATAAATACACCACTGCATAAATAGTCGTTTTCATTTCCTTTTTTCGATGAAACTGTCTAATTTATTTTAGAAACTGAGTTTTATTGCTAAGTTACATGACCTATATGAATTTTTCCTGCAAACACTGTTGTAATTCATGGAAGACTGAATAGTGTCAAGAATCTAGTTATAGTAACAATAATAATCTACTTTATTCCAAAAACGGCACTTATATTACAGAATGGAATTCTCAGCATTAGTCACAATTATACGACAAATAGTTAGTCACCTGTTAATAAAAATGTAATTCGACTAAAAATGTAGTAAATTTAATTGACAAGCGCACTTTTTAGGAAACCATGGCTTCTGAAAGGAATGAAACCCGGTCGTTCGTTTTCATGCTACTCATATGGCTTATGCATATTGTATGGAATTTCGCATGAGAAGTGTCACTTAACTTTCAAACTTCGATTCTTTTTTAAAACTCAGTGTAATCAGATCGTCGAATGTATTTAGCCTTTACCGTCTATAAAACGAAACATAGTAGTAGTAAAGTTCCATTCGAACACGGATAATTTTGAAACCATCAATCCCATGGAAGTAGTTAATGTAGATTGCTTTCACACTACATCCAAAAGGCTAAATGAAAACTACTATAATGGTTATGTCGATGAAAATTGTATATTTTTAGAAAATAATTGGAAAAATTATTTCTTGACTTACATTTCCACAGGAGGATTTAGGGTTTTGGGCTTCGCTCTCTTCATCTTGTGCTTCAATCTCAGCCAAACCACATGTACAGTTTTTACACGCTCGTTTCTTTTTACCCGCTGAGTCAGTAACAGCTTCCTTACCACATGCAGCCGGCGCTTCAAAGTCTGCTTCCTGCAACAGTGCATTTGTGTCTATGACATTCTCACTGATACCATTAGAATCTTCTTTGTCAACGTCTTCCCAAGCCGATTCGACGTCATTATTAGCCCATGGAAGTTTAACACTTGAACCCCGAGTATACTCTGACGGGACTGAGGCACTGAATATTAGGTATTTTTCATCATGTAGCTGAAATAAAATATTTCCATTTACTACATGAATGTATTTAGTTTACTAACTACAAGGAAACTGTACGAAAACGGATTCTTATTCGAGAACACACTTCAGTGTTAATAGACCTTCGAAACTGTGACAAACTAAATGAACTAGTGCAAGTATGATTTACCACCAGCGCATAACAAAATTAAAGGAAGACGAATAAAAATTAAACAGATTTGTACCTGTGTCCGAAAAAACTGATGGTATATGAAGTGAGACTGCTCTACGTAATAACACTGTCTTACATTGGTTCCTACCATGTGTAAAAACTGAGTCTAGCATATTAGCTGCTCAAAGACATCCATCAGTGTCTATCCTTCGTCACAAATTCCGATAATCACCAAATATACATCAGACAAAATAAATCCACATTTAGCCAATCAAATCAGGTCAACATTCCTGGATTGCTGCTGTCAGCACCTTGGCACTATAAGCTGCTAACACATGGCGAATCTACAAAATAATGTTGTCGTACTAACCTGATAATCTCATGGATTGCAGAGGCTACCACGATAAAGTACTGTTTACCGTGCAGTAGGAAAAAAATTTTCAAAAGATAGTGGACAGTCTTGTGTGCTGTTTAGTTGGACGAATCTGCAAGAAGAGGGAAGAATTGCGAAACCCGTCGCTGTCTTTCCGTAATCTCCGCCAACCAACTGCATTTCAGAGGACATTTATCAAAACCTGTCTAGTTTGCTTCTGAGTGTGGAACGCTCAGATATATTCAATTCAACAGGCGATCTCAATACTCGAGTATGTAAGTTGTACCAGTCAGAAAAATATGTTGGTACCATTATAGACAGTCCCGTGTCGAAGAACCGGTCATGATGCTTTTCTCCAATACTATCCACATAATTATCTGCATTCGATCAGTACTGATTTCAAAAAGAAAAAACACCTTATTTGGTGACTGCACACATCGAGTCAACCATGGACATAAAAGGATCATTTGGGTATAAGTTATCGACAGAGAGGATACGTGGAGGACTGCCGCCCTTTTTGGAACGGCTGCATGGGCTGAGGTAATGCACTAGTCACTGCACATATAAAATTACGACTGAACGTAATTAGGAAACTAACAAACGACTAACCAATTCTTGGTGAACAAAGAAGACTTTATTTAAGGGAAAAATAATGCGTAACTGAAGGTGACAGAAAACACAATCCCTGGGGAAATCAGCATCATATCCAGTGTATTGTAGAAACAGTGGTAAAGGTTGTTGATAACATGTAACCAAAGGTTAGATTTCTGGAAGAGTCATTTAGATGGGCTTCAAACACGAAAAGGAGCGAAAACTGCTCATGTGCAAGTTAACCAAAAATCGATGCAACAAAAGTCTAAGAGATGGGAAAGGTACTAACTACGGCTAATACCAGGAAACTATTGAAACAAATAAGGTAAACGAGTTGTAATGAACCTATGGTAAATGCAACTTAGTGAGAAGGACATCAATTATTTCTCAGGGCATATGGATATACAACATACTGGATGCAGTAAAGTCGCCTCGTAGAACTCAAGCATGAAAATATCGGTGTACATTAACGAGAAATTGAATAAATAGTTCATTGCACTGCAGCATAATAGTCTAGCATTCACTAAAATATTGTTCATAGAGTGACTGATGAAGGAATAAGCTGAAGCGTGAGACAAAATGTGGTTTTATTCTCTCTGATGTGGAATGGTGGTCACCGTAGTTTATACAGTAGGAGGAAAATCTTCGTGATGACATTGAACCTATTTTCGTAATTGTCGATTGTATGCCAAACCTGATTATGTGAAGGCACGTAATATCCCCTGGTTATCCACGCGGCATCGGATGCTGCAACCTCAGCATGTAGAGCATCTTAACACGCGCAGTCGTATTTATTCGATTCTGATTAATAAAGCAACTAAAAGCAGTTGTAAACACATCAAGTAAAAATAATTGCTCAGAAACTAACTGAACGTAGAAAAAGATGTGAAAACAAAGGAATCTAGAACAACACTATGTGACTGTGTTATGACAGACTACGATGCGAAAGTATTCAAAACACTTACCTGTTGGGGACCCATATATCCGGAAAGAGTCAAGTTTTTTCTCAAAGAATCCCACACGTCCGTAGTCAGTACCCGACCAACAAGACGACCACCAGGTTTCAAACAAAATGTGAGATTCGATAACAATTCAAATGGAAGTGCATTTACATTTAATGGATTGGGCCATCCACACAATACAACAGAAGCATATTCACGAAGATGATTGTCGACAGTTGAACTGCTAGTGAAGTTTTCTAAATTTTCAAATTGTAGTTTTTGAACGAGTGGAGAAATAAGTGTCTGCAAACTGCGCATAGTGTTTTCTTGAACTTCCCCTGACCATACCATTATAACACAGTCATCATTGCAAAGAATATCAGTGACACATTCTTCCATGATACCTGAAAAAGTTAAGACTGATGAGTTTCTTACAAACAAGAACCTTAAACGCGAAAATCTTTTATAACGTTCGGAAAGTTTTAACATTTTTTGGGTTAAAGGAGTCAGTAAAATGGTTTATTAACGATAAACAAATAGAGCTAATAGAGACAACTGACGCTTAGTCAAAATCCAAGAAAGATGGATCAAAATTTAAGTACATAAATAAACTTTGCACTCACTTTAAAATAATTAAAGGACAATTCGGTTTAATTTTTTATCAGCTATTTAGGACTTAAAATAAGTGAACTAACTGAGTTATAACATAACATAAGACTTCGTGTAGTAGTCGATGTAGCACATAGTATTTTAATGCTGCGCACCGGTGAAAAGTTCTATGTTGATTTTAATGTTTGCAAGCAACTGGCTAAAGTCATCTTGTCCGATATTAAACACTTTCTATATTCGTAACTTTCTCCTCGTATCTCTTCGGATAACACTAGGAGAAATTCCCTAAGGATTTATGCTCAGACAGCAAAATATAAAAATACAACTATACCATGTTTAGCACGGGTTTTGTGTGAAGAGTCATGTCAGGAAAGAGCTTGTAAACTTACTTCTCGATTTGTGAACCAATAACTGATTATAAGCGGCATTATTAATGCACATTATTCTTCTAATAACTTTCAGTTCTTGAGGTTTTCTTATTTTTAATATATTATATATATATATGTATTTATTTGTAATAGGAGATAAGCTGTTGCGATAGGTGCAAGGCTGAAAACTCCGTATAGAATAATTAATACAATTTGCAACACAGTTATTGTTTTAATTAAAAAGCTAGAGATAAGAGAGAAAAAAGATATACAAAAGAACAATGATAAGCAGAATTGTAGGGGAGAAAGAATGGTAACATGGAATAACAAAACAGTTAATTGGGTTTGGAAGATCACAAACAGCCAGCCAATGGCGCTTAATATTCTCACGAAGCCAATCAGGAAGTTTACACCTGCCAACGTGGCAGGCTTAAACCAACCGTTGTGGATTTCATTGACTGAGGAAGCCATGTTTTGGTTTGACCACCACTGACTCTTTTCCAAACTGATCCTTGTCAGCTGACATTGCCTACTGTTGAGGAAGGCAATGGCTAGGCATGCGTAACACACGTCTTAACCATCTCAATCGGTTGACTTTCACAACCTCATCGACTGACTTGCTCTCCTCACCTAACACTCGATGCTCAACCTCAATATTACTCAACATATTACACTACCTGACATGGGAGATAGAATGCAGACACCCATGACATGATCAAAGACAGCTAGTCGGCCTCTTTCTGTCTTCTGCTTTTGGCGTCCACGTCTCACAGCCACAAAGGAGGGCAAGGTGAACTACTGAGCAGTACACATGTCCTTTGGTCGACAGCCGGATATCACTTAATCGGCAGAGATGGTGTGGATTGGAAAGTGCCAAACGAGCCTTCTGTATCCGTACGGAAATTTAGTCATTAACCAGTCTATTAGGGCTGATACAACTTCCCAATCGTGAAGTGAGGTGGTCAATACCCCCAACAACTTCACTCCCTATCTTTAAACTAGGAGTCAGTGCAATACAGTCCTGCAGAATCATTTTACATTTGACTGGAGAGAATCGCACGTTAAATATTTGAAGATTTTTGTTCAAGGTGTTCAGAAATCACCAAAATTTGTTAAATTATCATCCGAATACTCCCAGTCGACGGGTCTGTCTCCTGGTAGCAAGTTACTAAAGTTAATTACGGTTATACTCATTCATGTATCTACGATGTAATTAAAAAGAACCGGGACAGTGGGGATCCTTGATGTATACCATTGGTTGTCATCGTTTCAGATGACAACACTCCGTAGACTGTCACCTGGTTGACTGCATGAGTTCGAGTAGAGTGAGTGCCTTGATGAGTGCGATGTATTTTCTTGGCATTCCCTTCACAGCCAAGCATCGCCACGGCACCTCTCAGTCGACAGAATCAAGTGACGCTTTCAGGTCTAGAAATATGATGACCGTTGGACGCTGGCAAGTATGCCTATGTTTGAGAATCTGTCGAAGAGTGAAGATGTGATCAATACACCCTCTTCCTGGTCTAAAGCCTGCTTAGTTCTTTCGTGTTTGTTTCTCCCGAGCACCGTTCAGTCTAGACACATGATTATTGAGCCTAGAACTTCAGATACCATATTGGTCAAGCTAATCCCCCTCCTCCGTGATTATCGCAGGAAGACTTATCTCCCTTCTTGTGTATTGTTATAACCAATAACTTACTCCTCTGATACTCAGACGCTGCCTAATGCCTTAGTGAATCAGACTGCAAATTATCTCCACTGTCCATAAACACCTCTGGTGTAGCTTCATCAGGTCCCGCTGCTTCGCTTCGTTTCAGACTGGAGACAGCTCTTGTAACATCAGTCAATGAAATCCACAACAGTTAGTTTAAGCCACGTAGAAGATGTAGGCTTCCTGGCTGGTTTGGGTCCTGAGGATGGCAAAAACCAATGACTGGATACAATTGGTGCTATGGCTCAAAATCGTTGTCAATGGCGCAGATATATAATACCCAATGAAATTCGTTTGTTCTTCCATATTACTATTCTTATGCCTCATTTATCTGTTTATTATTTGTCTTTTGAATCTGGGCTTACTCTCTTTTCTTGCTTTGTGTGCTACTTGGAGATTAGTCACTTGAACCGCTACATATATGTGAGTTCTATGTTGAAACCAGTCAACCAGCGAAGGCTTTAACTGAGGATAAAACTCGATTCGCAAACAGGCTGTCAATGGCCCTAAGCAGTCGTCGAATGCAAAGTGAATGCATTTTTGTTTTAGGATTATCAACAACAAAGAGTGCAATGGATGGATGTATTATCCGTTCTAATGGTTTATAGAATACCATCTGTCATAATGCACTGGTTGTTGAAGAATTGACAACATGGGAATAGAAGGGTGATTAAGCATTTAGCTACTTGTTGGTTATGTCAACATGATATCCAGCTACTCCTAAATTAGTGTACTGTAAAATACTGTTATCTGCAGTGCAGCTATGAGATGTGACGAACAGATGCACATTTTACAATTACATTTATAAGTGTCGGTCGAGATGTAGATATTCTTCCATTTAGGGAGCTGGCACAAACGTCCATACAAGATAAGCTAATTGAGGATTAACAAGGTTGGAAGATGAGACGAATTAATACCATAAATCAGTCAATCCATAAATCTAATGGTAAGTACGAGCATAGGAGTACAGTGAGCATATCTACACATCAGAAACTACATGTTACACACTCAAACTTAAGTAGTTTTCAATATATTTCACATTACCTTCGGTGTTTAAAAATAGTTAAAGAGAGTAGCTAACCTGTGGCTGACAATTGCTATGCTCCTGGTAACAAAAATGTGCCTATTAAGGCACTGTACTTGGGAATTGGTGGGGTAAATGGCGCAGTGGTTAGGACTATCGTCGACCATGCACATGGTCCGGGGTTCGATCCCCTGCCGACGCACACCTGATATCTATGGCCGGCCTGCAAAATTTGGGCTACAGATATCACATGCTGAGAATTCCATACCTGTATCAAAAAATACGGTGTGGAATCAAGCTGTAATCAAAAAAAAATCTTGTCCATGAGCACTCATATAAGTTTTTGTTGTCAAACATATGAGTGATATTCTAAAGAAACTGTCGAACAACCTAATATGCAGGCTATATTAATTCAAGCACACCGTAGGCTGGAATATTTAGCAAACGCCTCACAATCTTTACACTGCGGTCCATTTAGAGGGTCGATAAGTTTTTCATGCGATAGTTTTGTTTGCTTAACACGATACGCTTGCAAGATAGATATCGCCTATTTAAACTTAAGTAGAAAGGTTACTATCTTTTTATCGCAATCATGATTGAGTGTAAAAGTTTTGCAACAGCAAACTGACTGTTTTAAACAAACTAATTACAGAAGCTCCCCTACTGAATCATCCAACAAAAGTTTTCACAACAGATGTAGAAAGAGCGACAAGGCAATAGATAACAGAACTCTGTTTAGCCAAGTCAAAAAATAAGTACATATGTCTATTACTACACAGGAACAGGCAAAACTTACCGAAAACACGCAATCTTCACAAATCCAGAACCAACGGCATCTGATCACAAGGCCAGAAACTGACACATTAAAACAACACTGACAACTATGCTTACAGTTTAGGAATACTTACTGCAGAAAAGTAAGGTTCCAGAGTTACAATTACCGGGAAAGTAGAAAAACAATGGTCTGATGAGAACGAACACACCGGCGAACACAAAACGCACACTCTGATCAAAAGAGACACCAGATAGAAACAACACATTCTTGAATAAATGTTGAGTAACTGCAAATGTACTGAGCAGGATATTTTCGTTTAAATTTACTTTACAATGGATGCCTAAGACTTCTTCCTACTTCACCCAAACCGGTTCAGCTAAGGTAATCGGCCACTTAAATTTCGCTGCACGTTCATTCCACTAGGATCTCTATTATTTAATTTGGTGAGTAAGAGATAATCCAGCTATATTTGCTCCATCTGCCTAAATTTATTATCGGGACTTGGAAGAAGGGAGGGTAATTTGATCAAATGTTTACTTATTCATGATTCATAGAATGATAACATCATAATAGAATAAACAGAAAATACTGACTTCCACTTGGACACTTGAGAAAAATCTTCGTCACTTGTTTTTTGTCAGGTTTTGTTCCTCCTTGAGTGTTTCGCATTTCTCAAATAGTTCTGAGTGATCACTTTCCAGTATGTAATACAATACTGCTTCTAGTTCTTTCTAGACATCACATAGTATTTGAGGGAAATTATGAAGAAGTCATTTTAGTTGAATGGTAGTATCGGCAAAGATAAGAATGTAAAACTAAAATGAAGTAAGAATATTGGCAGTAATATATTAATAATAGAAAGAATAAAGAAGTGGTTCAGCTTCCGTTTCCAGAAATTTGATGATTCTATACCTTAAACATTTCTCAACACTTAGAATGCCTGCCGAATAAAGTGTCGTTCGGCCACGAAATCTTTAGACATCTCTTCTAGTCGTACCTGAATAGATGGAAGGTAGAGTTGTGCATCACGAGGATGCCCAGAGTCCAACAAGTTGATAATTGTTAATTTTATGTACGAATCCAACTGTCTATCTGGTAGTAGCTGCTTTAGCGATACTCCACTCGTCCTACCTGTAGCTTTCAGTGCCATTCGAAGTGTGACCAAGTTTTTCTAGGTACCCTAGGAAAAGATTATAAAGACCAAAGCAGAAGAATGGGTAGAATGCGGCAGGTGAAAATCTGTGAAGTGAGTGACTGAGCGATATGAATTAGTCTAAACTTCCTTATGTGGAGTTTAACAAGGTGTGAGACGACCAGGGAAGGCGTAATACAGGGTATCTAACGTTAAATTTAATATCAACGTCAGTGCCATCCATTATAGAAGAATCATCCGAAAGAAACACTTCACGTAAGTCACAGAAGTGCCTGAAAGTGAAACTTATAATATGACGTCTAAAGGGATTTAGCTCAAGACTGTTTGACAAAGACCACAGGCTAATTTCTAGAAAAAGGTTTATTCATTTCGAACAGTCTGACTGAGAAGTAACAGGAGTAGGAACATCT